TCAAAGATACACCATTCTGTTGGAAAATAAAGAAATGAGAGCCATTCTAGTACATCCTACAATTCCTAGTTATTGCCCTTGAATCTGGAAATTTCATATCATGGACTTTTTGCTCTCAAGCCTCCAGCAAAAATCTATCTGTTCCAGATTGACATATCATATACCAATAGAAAGGGAATTAGATGTTCTTTAAGACCTAGCCAATAGATTTCATATTTGTCAAGCTTTCTTGAGGGGTGACATATTTTTCGTGTTACTAAAAATAGATGCAGAAAGAGAAATCGGAGTGCCCCAACAATCACAAAGAAGAACATTTTTTTTTTTACAATTTAGAGTTTACATAATTTGGGGAGAAAGTATATTCCATTCTGCATGTAAAGTGTAAAAGGCACCTCATTCTGTTGAAAAATAAAGAAAGGAGGGCCGTTTTTGTGGATTCCACAAATTCTCGTTTATTGCCCTTGAAAGTAGAAATTTCAGAGCAAGAATTTTATTTAAAAACCATCAATTTCAATACCTATTTTATATTTAGAGTCTATTTAGTCATTTTTATTTGATAAAAATACCGTACAAAATCTTTCTTTATAAAGGTAAATGTATTTTATGGGCGAAATACCACATCACCAACCATCGTATATATTTATACGATATAGTATTGCGTAAACTGCTGGGAGTTAAGACTTGTATAGTAAGGAATGCTGGAACAAAAAAATCATAAGAATTATGTTGCTAATGTTGTTTGTTTTCTTGATTGTTAATACCTCAGGCAGTTTCACAGGTAGTTTTTTTTATAGATGCTAATTTGTAATTTAGTTTGACTTTTATTGCAAGCTTTTTAACAGCAAGCCAGAATTGCTTAGAATGAGTTCATTCCTGAACGGTTTAGCAATTCCACCCTAATCCAATGTTGGGGGAAAGAAATAGAAGAATATTAGTGTGAATATTTAATTGTCAACTTGGAACAGCGAGTTAATATCTAGGTGACCTAGACTTGTCACAACTATAGGAAGAGATTATTATTCAGTTTGAACAAATTTAGTCTGTTTTGTAATTTCAGAGACTCTGAGTGAGCAGGATGCTGCCTTGCTACTCTACATCTGTAGCACTGGGCCTTTCGATGCTCCAACAGAGCGGAGACTGCAGCTTACAGAAGAAGTCTGGAGCAGGCTAGAGGAACTCGGTAATTTACAAATCTTCTCTGTACAGAAAAAGGTGGACTTGACTGAAAGCGCAATCATCACATATGATTCATCGCGCACTTTTATAATTTTTTACCCATTGTATATCTAGGTCTCTTTTGTATATTTTTGTAGAAAGCGTACATTAGAAAAATCAGGATAAAAAATTTGAGACAAATAAACACACACACACAGAGACACACACTGGCACACACACACACACGCAAACACATGCACGACACACACACACAGTCTCTCCCTGTGCACCTCCACTATATATTACCTGAGAACTTTGACTTTGAAGGTAGAAAGAAAAAGTGTGGATTGATGTTATAAGAAATTTAATGAGAGATTTATTGTGTGAGACTCATAAAGTCATCCAAGGCTCAGGAACTGATTATCATGCCTCAGACATTTGAAAAGAAAACTCAGAGACAAGAAGCAGACGTAGCGCTATGAAAATATTTACCTATTTCAAAATTTGTTTTTTGTTTTAAATCTGCATTTCAGGTGTTGAGCCTTCAACTAAATTATACAACATGAAATTGAAAGCTTTCGGTGGTAATAGCAAGCGCTTTGAACCACTTGAGGAACTGACCCATATGAAATCTCTTGGACTGAATCCAGATAAGGTACACTGACCCGTAGATCATTTCTGCATATATCCCGATTAATTTATGGTTGTTTTCAAGAATTCCCGAGCTGAAATTTTGGGATTGTATGGAAAGCATTTATTAATTGCTATTCTTGTAATGTGTTTACAGTTACATTTCTTTTTGCGAAAAGGGAACTTCCTGGGTGTACTCTAGGGATTAAATTCAAACACCTTTCTGTATGTGCTCTTTTGTTAAAAAGGTGATATAGTGTTGTCTTTGGTAATTTGTTTAAAGCATTTGTGTCACAACGCAGTGGAATCAGGCGCTCGTCAATTTTTGGGAATGTGGAGTTATTGGTACCATCTGAAAGCTGACTTATTTGTCTTGCTTCCAATGAAATAGATATCCATCTATCTTGAATAGAAATCGAGATATTTGTGATTGAAGGAAGTGAAGTCGACTGGTTAGCGAGAAAATGGCCACCAAAATTTGGTAACTCCAATAGCTAAAGTGTCCTTGAAAACAGAAAAATGACATATTTTGTGCCTTTAATCAATGTTTTTCAGTAAAATTCTCACGCAAATGTGTTTTTATATGGACATAAAAGAGGTTGCGTCAAAAGTAAAAATTTGATAAAAATTTCCAAACTGGCAGAAAAATGCCTGTATCTCTGTTATCTGAATTTTGATGTGCCTCTGATTTCACCACGCTGCCTTACATTTGTTTTTGGTGTAAGTTTGATGTTTAGTTTTGAGAGTAACTGACATGCGAGTTGGCTGTAAAAAAAAATGCCTGGTTTCTAATCCAAAGAAAATGTTCGTTTTCGGAGAATAAAATTCAGATAAGGAAGTCATCCCCACAATTTTGTTGAGCTTCATAAATTGTATTCTTTCAGGTCTTGTCCATCTACTTCCCTCATATACCTCTCTATAAAAAATCACCATAACTTGATTTTCTGTCTTAATGTAATCTTCCTTGTGCAAACAAAGCTGAGGAACCAAGACCTATTTGAAAGTCTTCATTGCTGAACTCTGGATTTTTAGCAGCATTGTAGCTCCTTTAAAGTGTTTGTTAATGATTTTTATAAATGTAATAATACATAAATGTAATGTATCTGCCCTTATTATGTTGCAGGTAACCTATGGGCTTCTTGTGGAGGGATTCTGTCAGAACGGAGACATTGCTGGAGCACAGTAAGTCATTTTCATTATTTCTTTTCATATTCAAAACGTTTTGTTTTATTTTTGTTTTCACTTATACATTCAAGACTTTTCTTTTTTTCTTTTATTAACTGATATACGACTGTGACTGTCATTCATGAGCGGATAAAAGTAGAAAGTGTTTCCATTTGTTATTAAAATGCTACATTGTATTCAGTGTGAGAAAACCGGTTGTCTGGAAATTGTCCCTCGTTTCTGTAATTTTTATTTAGATAAAAATTTGATAACATACTGATGTGAGTAATAAGTGTGCTCCTGAGATATGATTTTTGAATCACATCAATGGTTAATATATTTTTGCTTTTTAGAGAATTTCTAGTGCAGTGTGTTGATAGATTGGCGTATTTTTTTCATTTGGGGTGGGGGGGGGGGGGTTGTTTTGTGTTTTTTATGCATTAGTTTGGACACCAGGATATTTTTTGGGTACTCTTAGTTTTTATGTTTTTGAGAAAAATTTTCCTTTTCTCTTGAATGATGCAAAAACAAGTCTTTTGAAAATGTGTAAGTCACCCTTAAAGAATTTGTAGTAGATTTTTTAGTGGTCGATATTGTTAAGGTAATTCAAATTGATTAAAGTATTTGAATGTTTGGGTCTCTTAATATTCCTTTTGCATTTTAAGAAGCTGAACTGGTTTTCCTTTTTTCAATATTGAAGCTTGCTTTGTTTGCAGTCTTGTGTTAGAAGCTATGAAGGAGGCGCGGCTACTACTTGGTGTCAACATTTTCAACTCATTCATCACTGGTCATTTCAAGGCAGGGTAAGCTCTTCTCTCCCACAGTGTTTTCATTTATGGCTGAAGGTTTTACTCTGTCATTATTCTATTGCGGGTGACTTAGGAAAGCAGATTGAGTGTAAATGGGCGGGATTTAGATTTGGCCTTGTGGTCAGTCCTGCAATTCGTTGGATTTTCTAGTGCATGTTGTTAAAATAATAACATCAAGAATACGTTATCTTGAAATGTGTTGGTATGTGGTAGATTAATGACAAGTGTGTGACTTATTGTTGCTGCTGTGAGAAAAAAGAAAGTCCAATCAATTTTTTTTTACTCACCCTGTGAAGCAGATTCAAATCATGTTTCTCATTTTTCTTTCAACAGGAATATTATCTGATACTTTCTGTTTCATGCAAATTGCAGTATCATATATAAATGTAACACTTTTTTTGTAGTCAATTCTGAGTTGAGAATATTAGTTCCTATAAGGATATACAGTCGAACCTGCCTTGACGGCCACCTGTACAAACAGACACTTCCCATTTCCCCCCATGTGTTTTTCTATAATTTAACTGTGTAAAACGGGTACCTGTCCAATGCGGCGGCGGCCACCGTATATTAACACACAACCCCTATCACACCAAGCAATAACACCTGTCTTAGACGGCCACCTTAGTGAATCCATTACGTTTTGTCATAAATCATGCACTGGCCCCTGGCATTGTGGGCAAGCCATCAATCCAATCACCTGTCATTGTTGTTAGGTAGTCCCTCCAACCGATCATGTTGCGTAGACCCCTCCTATTGTTGACCAATAGGTAACAAATTTTCAGCTGCTGGTGAGGTAAGCGTGTGATCCTTCATAACCCATAAGCCCCGCCCAGAACTCATACACAAATCGTAAGTGAGATGAGTGGTCACTGTTTACCCAGTCTGTAACAAAGTAATGATGGACGTCAACATGAACTTGTGGCAGAAGCGTCGCTCGTTCTCTGAGTGGTGGCGACCCATGTCTTTGTTTTACCGTAGCACTCGGCCCTCCTTGTCTGATACATTTAGTTTTATTGTCACCCTTTCACAAAAGCAGCAACAACATTTTAAAAAAATTTTTTTAACCCAGCAACAACAACAATGCGGCTACCTTCTGTTGGGACCTCAGAAAGGAATGGTTTGTTTTCTTCATCTTGATCAGTCCTGCCTAAGACGGCCACCTGTCTTATAGGGGTGGCTGTCTTACACAGGTTCGACTGTATCCTCATTGAATTTTATTTTGGTGAAGACTTGTTTAACTCAAACTGGCTGTTTTTTGTTTCAGATCACCAGAAGATGCACTTGGTGTTATTGATCTTTTAAAGTAAGTTTTGAAGTCCTGATGGAACTGAGAATTAAAAGAAAAGATTTATGTCATAACTCTGTTGGGTTTTTTTCTTCTTACTCAGGAAAAGCTGACTGTAGATCCTCCAACCCAAAGTGCCACTTGAATTTAGATTCTTCACCAGCGTAACAAATAAAGAGTAGTATTTATGAGCTGTCAGCCATTCTGAACCATGTGTCATTTTCATATCATGCTTTTCATGTTCAACACATCCGTGCTGTTGTTCAGGGTTGGTGATTTTTTTGATTTTTTAAATAAAAATTTTTTAAATCGATTTTTTAAATTTAAATCAGATTTTTTAAATTTAAATCGGATTTTTTTGATTTTTTTAAAAATGTCGACTCAGTTTGGGATTTTTGGTGGCTAAAAGTATGTTCTTCTAGTGCAAATTGCATATTGTCTTTATTTTAACTAATGATTAATTTAAGCAACTGCAAAAGAAAGCCTTAATCTGCTATATCAGTGAATTATGGCTACAGACAAAAAATGAAGAAAATGTAAGTCCAAAAGGAGGGGGGGGGGGGGTAATTATGCATAGACAAACTTGCATTTTATTTCAGTGTGTGTGTGTGTGTGTGTGTGCGCGCTTGTGTTTGTCTAAAAAGAAAAAGAAAATGCTAATTTCAATTATGAAAAAAAAGTAAATTGAATACTGTATTATTTTACAGTAACAGGGGGGAAAGCAGACTTTTAAGCATGATTATATTAGTCTACTAAACCTTATATCTGTTTTATAAAACCATGAAAGGAAGTCTGAATGTTTAAAGATGTCAGAATACTTTTTTTTTTAAAGTGATTTAAATCACTGAGTTTTATTTTTTAAATGAAGTTGATTTAAATTTTTTAAAATCAGACCTGATTTAAATCAACCCAACCCTGATTTCAATTCTGAAAAAAAAGTAAATTGAATACTGTATTATTTTACAGTGGCAGGGGGGAAAGCAGACTTTTAAGCATGATTATATTAGTCTTCTAAACCTTATATCTGTTTAATAGAACCAAGAAAAGGAATTTTGAATGTTTAAATATGTAAAAACTGAATACATTTTTTAAAAAGTGATTTAAAACTGATTTTAAAAAATCAAGTTGATTAAAATTTTAAAAATCAACTGATTTAAATCAACCCAACTCTGATTTCAATTATGGAAAAAAAAAGTAAATTGAATACTGTATTATTTTACAGAAAGCAGACTTTTAAGCATGATTATATTAGTCTACTAAACCTTATATCTGTTTTATGAAACCAAGGAAAGGAATTCTGAATGTTGAAATAGGTAAAAACTGAACAAAAATAAATTTTTTAAAAAGTGATTTAAATCACTGATTTTTATTTAAAAAATTAAGTTGATTTCAATTTTAAAAATCAACTGATTTAAATCAACCCAACCCTGCTGTTGTTATAAAATACTGTGCTGCCATTACAAAGAGAATATTGTGGTATTGTCGGGGAATGTCATATTGTTTGAGCTGTCCTTAGATTTGAGTTTTGCAGGTTTGAGTTATCTTTGCAAGACTAGTTAACTGTGCACTTGCCATATCAAGTTTCTCACTGATTTTCAAGAATGCTGTTGATAGGGAATAAGTGTATGTTACTCTTGTAATAACTGAAAAATGTAAATGCTTTGCCTTATCCCCAAAGCTTTTCATTATAATTGCAATGTGACCAATTATTTTAAAGAAGTGCTAATACAGGAGGGGGGGGGGGGGGGGTATCAAACCTGATCATGTCTTGGATGCTTTGTCGAAAGTGTATGTTTCTGAGTCATGGTTCCATTTTCCTTTTCTTTGTGCTCCTCCAGATCCAGGGGTCTGTCTCCGAGTGCAGACACTTTCTTAAGGTTTGCAGAACACTATGCAGAAGAAGGAGATCTGAGTTCAGTTCAGAAGGTATTTGTCTTCGCTGTTGTACTTGTATTTTTGTTGTACTTGTAACCATGTGTGCCTATGAGTCTGGCAAGAAATATAAAAAAAACCCAACATTTTCACTCTTCAAAGTATTTCATGTTTCATATCATTTAATGAGGGTCTTTTTTAAAGAGACATATTGACTACTATCTCTTCAGCATATTCTTGTATGTATGTGTGTATGTCTGGAGAAAGCTCCAGTTGTCGGCAGAGACATTTTTAAGCTAGAATTTCATGCACTTTTTTAATGTATTTCATAATTTTATGCAGAAAATAGACATGTTGTCAACTGTCCCCATTTCAGATTTTTTTTTTTACAGTCACTGCTTTTATTTAAATTGTTTCCTTTCAACAAAACTGCAACTTGAAGCAATTTTTCAATCTCATTGTGGTCAAAGACAGAAAACCAAACAGTAAAAATATGCCTAAGAAGTAAGGATGAGAGTACATTACTTTGCAGGTTGCTTGCAAATGTGGCCATTGTATTCAGCTACGTTCATGATGAATATATCACATGGTATAAAGTTTTGCAAAAGTACTTTTTCTTCTTTGCATGTAGAACTGGATTGTTGTGAAATAAAACAAGGATGTTTCGTGATATCTTTTTCATCAGGGTTTGATTTCCTCTTTTTTTCTGTTTTAGTACATAAGTGATGCAGATGAGCAAGGGACACCACTGTCCCATATCATGCTGCTTGACCTGTACAAGATGTTTGTCTCGTCTGGTCACTCCACTCAAGCTCAGGAGGTGAGTCACTTTGTCTTGGACTTACTGTCTTTCTTGGTGTCTTCGTAAAGTACGTACATTATTCCTGTTCTTAACGCCCGAACTGCATGACCATCAATAATTAGTTCTTCCTGTTACTTCTATATCTTTGACAACTCTTAGATCGCCAATTGGAGCCCACAAGCTTTTTTTGCACCTAGCATGATAGAGACAGTTTCCCCAGCACTGGACTACACAGACAAAATGCAGTTCAAAACTGGGACTAGTACTATATGTACTACACACCATCATCTCTGGAGACAAGTGGATGCCAATAATAGTATATTGACAGAGAATGATGGAAGAATACCTCAGGTATTCCTCGTCATTGCTTTGAGGGGACGAGCACAAGGCAGTGGAATTAATCAGAATAATCCCATTAATCCCATTATTTGAGTATTAGAGGGGGATCAATATTTATGTTTTCATCTTGATACCAGAATGTAGAGAAACATTTAAGCCTGCTTTCTATTTTCGGGGCGTTTTTTAAGGGGGTGTCAATACCATGGCTTCACTCCCCCTAATGTTTTTTGGAGGGTTGTCTTTAATGGACCCTCTTGATGTTTCATTGGATGTCTCTTGATGTTTTGTTGAATGTGCCTCTTTTGGCAGAACGTGTCTCTTTCGGCACTGTGTTTTATAGATGAATGTAGCTGAATTCTATTCATTTTAACTCTCTTTTGTGGCTGTATCTGTTGCCTGGCATGAGGACGTCAATAATCTGATCTCCTGTGACTGACAAATAAATAAGTCTTCTTGCATTTCGGGTTTTCAGTTCTTGGGTCTAATTTCTGGGCGTGGAGTCTTTCGCAACAACTCCCTCCAGAAGTCATGCCAGCTTATTGCCGAGGGTTATGCCCAGGAGGGCATGCAGCTCTACATGATGATGCCCAAAGTGGAGGACTTTAAGGCCGCGGTGCACGCTGGCAGTTTCTTGCTGAAGGCCATGGTCATCAATGGTTATGTATGTTGACAATTTTTTTTTTTCCAATTTTGCAAGTTGTGGGATAACTAACCATTAGTTATTCACTATAGGCTCAGATTTCCTGTACTATCGATAAATACTGGGCTAATTGTACTTTGGTAGCAAGTAGCACTGTGAATGGTTTTGTTATTTAATATTTACTGTTTTTGTTAATTTAAAAAAAAATTGTTTTCTCTCCTCAGTTTGGTTTGTCAGCATGTCATGAAGTCTTGAAACACAATTTAAAAGATTCGTTATCTTTCCTTTCTTCTTTTTTTTTTGTTTCTCTCTCCCCTCATCTCTCTCTCTCTCTCTCTCTCTCTCTCTCTCTCTCTCTCTCTCTCTCTCTCTCTCTCTCTCTCTCTCTCTCTCTCTCTCTCTCTCTCTCTCTCTTTCTCTCTCTCTCTTGCTTTTCTTTTTCTCTCCCTCTCCCTCCCTATCTCTATCTCTCTCTGTCTCTCTCTCTCTGTCTCTCTCCCTCTCCCTCTCCCCCCTCCCACCCCCCCTCTCTCTCTTTCCCTCTCTCTCCCCCCTCCCACCCCCTCTCTCTATCTCTCTCTCTCTCACTCTCTCTCTCTCTCTCTCTCTCTCAATTTATTAGATGTCACTCAACATTTCAATATTTTGATGGTAATGTGAAGCACTCTGGCATTTATGGGACATTTGCTTGTTTTTTTTCTGTCTTATTCTGACTTAGTGTCATTGACAACAACTAATTGTGAATAATTCCCCTGCCAGAGTGCGGAGTCTGTGATGGAGATGGCGGACAATCTTGTTGAGTTCAACCCAGGATCTTTGGCTCACAGGAATGCGCTATTGTATGCGTACAAGGCAGACAGAGCAGGTGATGATTGCAAATGTTTGTCCTTGCAATAATTTAGTCACGTAGGAAATGGGCTGCTCTGAGCCTGTCTATTGGGGCCATCCTCTAGCTAAATGGGAAATGCAACCCAAGCATACAGGCAGAGATACTCAATAAAATAACTATGCCATTTGGGAATTCAACTCACATCTTCTGCCTGCAGTAGCAAAGGGCTAAACACAACGCACTACGTGGATACTGAACAGATTGAAATGTACTCATATTATTTATTTTGTTTGCATGATAGAGATTTGTCTTCAAGAACTTTTTAAAGAGATAAGTTACTTACTTGGGTTTCCCGGCTATGTTTCCCAGTCCTTTCACATATCGTGGTATGACACAAAAGGTGCATGTGTGATAATCAAAGTTGTTGTTGGGATGCTAATGGTGCCTAATCGTTGCTGCTGGTGCCCTCGTCTGGCTTTTTAAGTTCTGCTTCAGTGTGAAACACTGAAAATGATTTGCCTTAGCATCAAGCGATTATGCCATTCCTTATTAATGAGGTTTCTTCATAGTTTCAAAATGGGAAAAGCAACGGAATGGAGCAGATTTTTTTCACATATCAAACAAACATGAACTGATAATGTGGTCTCCTCTCTTATTTAATGTGTTTCTCTTTTTCAGACTTGGCTGTACAGCTCATAGAGCTAATGCTGTCTAAGGTCAGTAACTAAATGTACCATTTGTTGATGGTCTTTTCCTTTTGCTTAGTGGCTGTTATAGATATTAGTGTGTTATAATTATGCCTCAGGTCATGCTTAAGTCTATTTCAAATTGACCCACCATTTCTTTTCTTTCCCATGATGACCAACCACATATCATGAAAAAGGGTAGATGTAGTGACAAATATTCAAGTTGTAACAAAGGGCTCATGACTTAGTCCTGATTGAGTTTAAGATGCAGAATTTGGCAGATTTTGTGGGCAGTTGGAGGATGCCACTAATGGGTCCTGCATCTGACGTTTCTTTCTATGATTCTGCTTAGCATGTTTTGTTTTTTCCCAGTGCTGCTAAATGAACGTTATGTGGGTGGTTGGCGAGTGCTCTGGTGTGGTTTGCTTCTTCTTTCCTGTCTAACGTCTATCGTCTTTATCTCCCCTCCTTCTTGTTTGTGTTTGTTACTCTCTTGTAACACCTCTAATCTTCAGCACTTATGTGACCTTATTGTGTTGCAAGTGCCGTAGAACACTTACTAAAACTAAAATGAACGTTATTGTGCAGAAGTGCTTCTTTTTACTGAAACAAAAAACAAAGGAAGATTTTTTTTCTTTATAACCTAGTCTATGATAAATGGATTTAACCATGATCAAAGCTTGTGGACGATGTGTTGACAGGGAGGTTATGAGCTGAGAATTTTGTAGGTAGTTTGTGGGTTTTGTGGTGTAATTTACTCTTTTAACTTTGTTTTACTTTTTCTGTTATGTTGATCTGTTTCTTCTGGGAACATGTTGCTTGTATATTGTGCTGATTTGTGAAATGTTTGAACTCGGTTGATGCTACTTTAATAAGTATCATGAAAGTGAAACTTACCACACGTCATCATATTTCCATTTCTTTTTGTTTGGTGCCTGATCTTCTGGCAGATGGTTGTTGCGTGTCGTTAGTAGGTCCTGCTTCTTTTCTTTTCCTCTGATGTTTCTGTCTGTTTTACTTTTTTCCCTCTTGCATTTAAAGACCAATAAAAGACATTGATCAGAGTCTTGACTTGACCCTCCTCCGAGTCTCTCGACTCACAAGTGACAAACAACTGTATCTCCCGAAGACACTCAGTGATACTGACAGAAAGAAGAAGTGAAGTAAAAAAGAAAAGTTAAATTGCCAATACTGTGTTGATGTTCCTCTCTTACTCAGACAAATCTTCATCCTGTGCAGGTGGTTGATGAATTCACTGATGTGGTCTGCTTCTTATGCATCTTGTTCAGTGTTGCAGTTTTCCTGGATTATTCTACTCCCTGACAAACATGTAGCCATTGTCTGTGGAACGTGCTGTTGACCGCAACTCAGTGTATGACATTTAATTGAGTGTCCTCCCTGGCATGAAAATGATACTCTTTGACTTTCTACCTGTCTCTTCCTATCTTGCATTTCCTGTTTTTTTCTTTTGACCACTCCCCAGAACCATACCCTGAAGGTACCACATTTCATCCCAGCTGTGTGCTATTACAGAAACCAGGGGGATGCAGCCGGTAGGTTTCCACTCATGGGGGTACTTGGCTGAGGCTATAGGGCTAATGGGGCTCAATAAAAAAATTACTTTTTTTTACCAATGAAACCGTGGCTTAAAAGTGGATATTATATTGTTTGTAAAGTATGTGGCGTGAATTTAGGTTAACGACTTATCTCCTGCAAGCATCTTTTAGCAGCTCAGTCACATTCCTTTATGATGGCGATGGCGTTATATAATTTTTTGACAGGTCTCTCTTACTGTGAGTTCTTTCATAAGACAAAGAACTATCAAAATAGGTTCATTTAAAAAAATTTAATGACCAATTTAGTGACATGTATGTCTCTTTCAAGTTTGATACCAAAAGAGGGTTTCGGCATAGTGGGAAACCCCCTCCAGAGAAAAAGGGTTAGTGCAGAGGGGTAATATATGCCATTATTTATGTCTGTAATGATAAGTATTGTTTTTACTTTTATACAACTTTATTTTCAAACATTTTGCTCTGTTGTACTTTGAATTTATCCTCATACAAAAATGCAGACATTCTTATTATTTATGTATGGTTTCTTAGGTGCATACAAAGTGACGTCAATGCTGATGGACTTGGATGCCAGTGATGCCATCGATGACACTGTGGAACAACTTCTGAACTGCTTTTACCCGGCTTTGCTAGAGCTGGGCCAGTCCAGGGAAGATATCTTAAATAATACAAAGGTTAGCTTTTTGTTCTTCCTCTACTTCTGTCATTTTCTTTATATCATCCTTGTCACCAAGAAAAAAGACAAAACGATGCCTCAAGTAATTCCAATAATAAAACTCATCCTCTAAAGAAGGTGCAAAAGTTACTAATTTTTGTTGAAACAGCAACAGTTTGTCAGCTGTTGTTTGTTACTAAGCAGGTCTTACTTCATTGATGATCCAACATGAGCTAAAGGGTATAAAAAGCTCATGCGCAACTGGATAGATTACTACAGTAATCAATAACATTGTTTGAATATTTATTACTGTATTTGTTGGATTTTGGTTGAGATTGTTATAAAGTTACTGTTTTAATCTATAAAAATCTGAATGTGTTATTACAAAGTCAAAAGTGTTACTGATAAGCTATTTTAGTATAGGTGATGTAATAATAATCTAAAACAACTGTAATAATAGATAACATTTGCATAGTTTTATTCGTGCTCAAAAGTAGGCTCTATGCTCTTTACGATTTATTTTTTTCTTGACAGACCCTATGGCATCCTGAAACATTAAAAATTCTCTTGGAAGCATTCAGAGCAGGTTGCCATTTTCAGGCTCTCAAGCACTAACATACTGACAAGATCTTTCTCGTTCTCTATCAAAGACCCTTCTCACCAGGGTGAAGTAAGGATAATGATGTGTAAAGTACTGTATCTTCCCTGAGGACCTTACACTTTGAGTGCAGCAACCTGTCCCATAGACAACCAACACAGCAGCATTTTGTCAACTTCCTCATTATGTACTACAGCTTGTTATCATACTGTCTTTAACACATCTGTTTTGTTTTTTGTTTTCTTTCTTTCTTTCATGAAGGGAAAGGAAAAGACTTGGCGCTCTATCTTTTTTCTCCGTGACCTACAGAAAGAGGGTGCCGAAGAAGCTTTGAAAAATGGTACAAAGTTTCACGTTGTTTGTGTACAATTTCTGTGGTGCTTGTAATTAGACCTGCTTAGTTTAGATTCTTCATCATCATTGCCTTTCTCACCCTGCATCAGGGTATAGGCCACGGACAAACACCCTCCACTTTTCTCTATCCTGGGCTAGCCTCTTGATGTTATTCCATGTCTTCCCACTTTTCTGTACATCGATTTCTGTGATTCTTTTCCAAGTTCCATGAGGTCTTCCCCTTGATCTCTTGCCCTGTGGATTCCAATTCAAAACTTTCTTTGTTATGCAGCTGCCTGACTTCCTGAGAGTATGTCCAATCCATCGCCACCGCCTTCTTCCTACCTCATATCTGACTGGGATCTATCTTGTTTTCTTTAACACTTCCACATTGGTGACCCTGTCTGTCCATCTGATCCTCAGTAACTTTCTTAGACACCTTAGATTCTTATTTCTAGTTAATTTTGCTTTGATTGTGTAACTGCTTATAAAATTCTAAAATTTACTGTAAATATTAATTTTTTAAAGTGATCTGCTTTTTAGTGGTAAAATGATCCTCATTTACAATTGCTCATGTATAGCATTATCTTTCACAGACAGAACTCACAAAATATAAACAATAGGAATTTTTGTTTTGCCCTTTCCAGTGTAGCCACCATTGTTTTGTAATACCTGTGAAGTTTGCAGTTTATCTTTCTGAGACTTGGGACTGTGGTGTTCAACAAATCAGTTTAACCAGGTGTGTTGCTTTTTGGGGGGGGGTTTATTTTCTATTATCACCCTTTTTTCTCTTTGAATAATTTCAGCTGAGGGTAAGGACTTAGACCCGGATGTGTTCAAGTACTACAACTTTTCCTCCATCATCACCCAGAGGCTGCCCCAGGAGTGGGCTCAGTGTGTCGATGTAAGGCATGGCTTTATTTAACATTCATTAGACTTTAAATTTGTTTTGCATAAATGGCTGGTTGAGATAAATTAATGTGTGAGTTAGATTTGTTTTATGTCAATTAATATCACAGACCAAAGGTACGAGTTTTTGCAGTGATTGTTGTCGATAGGAGTAACATCATTTTTGTCTGTATTCTCATTACATCATACATATTATTATAATCAAGGTGTAAATGTACCCTGTAAAAGTAAATGATGAGCTGGATTGTTACGGGATGTTCATTTATACCAGAACCCTCCCACTCCCTCTAGCTCTACCTCTACCTCTCTCTCTCTCTCTGTTTCTCTCCCCCTCCCTCCCTCCCTCCCTCCCTCTCTCTCTCTCTCTCTCTCTCTCTCTCTCTCTCTCTCTCTCTCTCTCTCTGTCTCTCTCTCTCTCTCTCTCTCTCTCTCTCTCTCTCTGGTGATTAGGGAGGGTTTCTTCTTGAATTTGTTGAGTCTCATGCTCAGTCTTTTCTTCCATATATGATCTGTCTGTAGTCTTGTAAAGGATACTATAAGCAACAAATGTGTGTCTATTGCTTTTGCCTTCTGTGATTTTATGATCCACTTAAACGATTTCCCATTTCAAATAAGTACCTTTACCGCTCTCTTAAAATCTTTTTGAATGTGTTTGAATTGTTTCTATTTGTATTATTTTCCTTCTTTTTTTTTCAAAATATAATAACCCAGTTTGAATCTTTCATATATGTGAGATGTTTTCCTTTTTGTTTTCAAAATGTAAAAAGCATGCTTTTTACTAGACCAAGAACAAGCCCTTTTCAGGCATTGTTTTTGAATTTTTCCTTTCAAGGTACTGGAGTTTTTGGCGAAGATTCCCGGTATTGATAAAGGTTTGGTGTTGAGTAAAAATGAGGCTGTGGTGAGACAGCTTCTGTTCCACGGTGACCAGGAGATTCTGGCCAAAGGCCTGACCACCATGAAAGACAAGGTAAGCCTGGGCGAGAATGAATGAAACCTGAGCTTAGATGTGAGAACTTTACGTCAGAGCAAGTTCGGTCATCAAGATGCAGTACTTGTTAATGTATGAGATGTGGGTTTATAATGCTCGGGAAATTTTGTATAACGTTTCTTCTCGTGCTTGATTAAGAAAGGTTATCTTTTCTGAACTTATGTCATGACTTTTTGTTGAAGAAAAGTTAGAGAAGCAGCATTTTGTCATAGTAGTTTAGTTCGTTTCAAATGTATTGTCTACGTGTACGATATTACAGAATGTTTTTGTTTTATCTTTATATGCTTTATTTATATTTTTTAGGGAAAATGATTGTTTTTGTTTTGGTATTCTCAAAGAGGCAGGTGGAAGATATACACATTGATAATTTTAGCAATTTACCACGCGGAAATGAGAGTTGTATCTCCAACAGATGTTGGTTTTTTTCTTCTAGAGAAGCTATAAACTCTTTTAAAAATTTCCACAATGAGTTTGTCAAATACTGAATTATATGGTATTGATGTTACCTTTTTTCCCTTCAATATCTGTTCATATGGTTTGTTCTGCTGTTTACTGTGATATAGATAACTATTAATTGCTGGCCTTTTTATATAAGAGTATGAGAGCAATATTTTCCAGGCGCAAAAAAAATGGTGTGTCACAGATATTGAAAGCTATCTTGATTGTTTAAAGTGACACAATGAAGGGGTTTGAGGGTCAGCTGAGTATTGAAGTTGATGTTGGACTTGCATTCAAATTTTTTTTAAAATTTAGCGCATTTTCTTTTCTCTTTGTGCCAGAACCTGAGGCTGAGGCAAAGATTTCTGCAGATCAAGTCTCTGACGGGGATGCCTGAGGAAATACAGATGGTAACGGTCCTGGCTTGGTGCTAGTGTTCTCTACATGAAACTGTGTCTTTATATTTGTAGAATGACTGAATGTTGTGTTGCTGTTTATGCAGTGCACATAGTTTTTAGAATAATTGAATTTTGTACATATTTGTATGCCCTGTGTTATTAGTAGTTTGTGGGTGCTCTGGCGTAGTTTAATATTTATATATTTCCTTTGAGATTTGCAGTTGATCTGACCTGCTTCCTGGTGAAATTTGGTTTTTATCTCAAGGATTCAATGTAACTAAAGGTCTGTTACTTCCTGTGTCACTAAGTTTTGTGTTATAACTATCCTAGTGGTGAAGGGGACTCAAGTTTCCTCTTATATTCTATTGCTGTCATGGAATTCTGTTTTTGAATTTTGGATGCTGGCTGGCGTATCTGGTACTATTTTTCCTTGGCTTTTTGTCCTCTCTCTGTGATATTTTGTTGGCGGAGATTATTTTATGTTGATTTTGCAGCCCCCCTCACAAATGATTTTTAAAGTGAAATAGCCAAAAAGTCTGACCCACCCACCTTTCAACATCTCAAAACCTTTGGCCAAAGGACACGAGCCTTGCAACTGTTGGATTGACGAACTGCTTCACTGTGGTTTTTAAAAAAAAAGAGTAATATGTATGTTCATGAGAAGCACAATAGCCTAAAAAAGTCATAATGCTATGTGAACAGTTCATAGACTGAGAAATGGTGTCATGCTTGGCTGTGATGAGGATGACCCCACTGGGGTATTCTTGAGATTGTGTTGTTCGGGGAAGTTTCTTGACTTACCACCTACTTGGCCCAGTCACTTGGAAGATGGACATTAAATTTGGAGGTCGCACCTCTAAATTAACCCAACAGTCTTTAAAGAGGTTTTAAACTAAAGCCATCTCTGTAATATGTCTGTATACATTTTATCACACTGACGTGACCTTAGAATAAACCTAGACCTACTGTTACTCTGTATTTCCTGTTAATAAATTGTTTTACTGCAATTTATTTACTTTCTGTTTCATTTTTTTTTTTCAACAGAAAGTGAAAGGCCTGTGTGTCGCACCCGTAAGTTCATTTCATTCTTTTTCTAATGATTTGCAGTCTTTATTGCAGTATTATGCCTTGCTTTGTTGCCAAATCCTTTTCTAATCGTAAAGGAACAAACTGTTTTTGTAGTCCTGATAATTAATTCTTAACTAAAGCTCTTTTAGATTGTGACAGTCTTTCAAAAAATCTTCTTGACTGCTCAGTGTAGGACTCCATCATACGTCACTTTTCAAAATGGTGTATGACAGTATCTAACACTAAGCAGTTGATCTGGGGGGTTTTTGTCTCTTGAAAATTTCACATGTTTATAGTCTGTTATTATTACGTGTATGTACATGACTCAAATCTTATCAACGTGGGTGGTTGGCGGGTGCTCTGGTGTGGTTTGCTTCTTCTTTCCTATCAAACATCTATCGTCCTTATCGCCCCTTTTTCTTTTTTCTTTTTGTTACTCTCTTGTAACACCTCTTATCTTCTGGCACTCATATGACCTTAAAATCACCGTAATAACTATAACTAAACTTCTCTTATCAACAGGAGTTTCAAGTTAAAAATGAGACTGGAATTTTTTCAGCAAAATGCGAAAGAGCCTTCTTGTGCTTATAACTGTCTATTCCACTCTTCATTGCAAATATCTTTTTTTCAGCAAACAGCCCCGCGCAGTCGATACTTGTCAGCCGGAGAGCTGGAAGGCATGACAAAAGAGGCTGTGGAAGAATACCAGAAGCAGCACCCTGACCGCTTCTTGCCCCAGAGTGTGTTGTTGAACAAAGCCATGGCACAAGGGGTGGGTGTTTCATCTCTCGATGAGAAATAACAAAGAAGAGAAACAAGGGCCTTTAAGTGTTCTAGTAAGATAATAGATGTGCTAAAAATACCTCTCTCAGATAGGTGAGCTTATATTGCTCTTATAAAAATGTTCTAAAGTGGCTGTCAAATAAATGTCCTTATGTTGCTCTTAAGTAAAGTAAAGTTGTTCCTGCTTCCGATCCGAACATTGGGGATTGCCTGCACCCTCTGCTCTTAAGTAGGTAGTGCCAAAATCTCAGATTGGATAGATGAGCTTCTGTGACTCTTAAAAGTAAATTTTGCTAAAATCACAGACTTTTATATTTATATCGCTCATATAGTTTTAAGCTGCTGATTTTATCGTTGTCAGATAAATATTACTAAAACCACATGTATGTGAGCTTATAAAGCTCTAAATTAATTTTACTCAAAATACAGAAAGATCAGCTAATGTCGCTCTTTAATGAATGCATAGAAATTACTCTTAGGCTGCCTGGAAAAGTTGGAGTATGTCCAGTGGGATATGTTTTTCGTAATTTTTCAATGACTCACAAAAAAACAAGTTTTTTTACTCACTGTACAAATTAAAATCAAACATTGATACAATTTGGGAGGGAGAGACAGCGATGATTTATGCATTTAATCAAATATTCTTCCTTTTTCGGTCACATGTAGTGATTGATGATTATGGATATTTGCTTGAAGACAAAATTCAAGAGACCAGCGTCTGTGGTGTAACATTGGTTAGGCAGGTCACTAATGCATACAGAAGATATTAGTTCAAAGCTCACGTTGGAAAGTTATTTTATTTCTTCTGTCTGCTGGGATGTTGCATTCCTCTCGCTCTATTGTGTCAATATGAGCATGAAATATTCCCAGCCATGATGTTTGTTACAGAATCTAGAGGAGTCAAAGCTGAAATTGCGGGAAATGCAGGCTTGTGGCTTCACCCTCAGCCTGATTCAGACCCTGAAGATTGTCTCGTGGTTCACACAGATGGGAGACGTAGAATATGCTACGCTTTACTTTAATGAACTGTGAGTGGAGATTCTGTCTTGGGGGGACCCAATGTCTTGTTACTTTTTTGCTGTAAAATGTTGTTTCCGTTATTGAAAAACATATTTTGGGAATATTGTTGATTTAATTCTATTATAAGTTCAATTGAAAGATTGGAATAACAGTCTTTCTGTCAATGGTAAAAATGTTTTTGAATTCTATTATTTAAAAGATTAGTTTTTTTTGTTTTCTTTTTTGTAACTGTGCTTTTCATTTAAAATTAATAATGATTGCTGCATATGTTACTCCTTCAAGCTGACTAGTATGTTCTTTTAGTTGAACTTGCTTATGAACTTCGTTGTCAGGAAAGTTGACTTGTGTCTTGAAAGTCATGACACACCTTTGTATGACAAAATAATGATTCCCAAACTTACCAAACAGAATGTTTTGTTGATGACTTGACTGTGATAGGCTCCAGTCCTTAATGCTGTCTGATGTTTAGAGATTGTCAGATGCCAGAGGGTTTTTGGATGCTAAAGGATTGTCCGAAACTGTACTGTCTTCTTCTTTTTTCAGAAAAAATCTAACAGGGACAAGTTACAGATGTACTATCCCACTGAACATAGCTGTTCTGCAACTGAAGAATGGAAATGTTCAGGGTAAACATATTTTGAACTACAATAATTTTTAAACTTTTTTTTTATTTACTTATTTTTTCATGTTTTGCTCGTTTCTTTCTAAAACATTTTGGTTTTGCTTAACTTTTGAAGATGTGTATTGTTGGGAGAAAACACAAGTGCAGCGCGCGATGTCAACATTCTCCTTCTCTGGCGCTTTTGGTTTTGGGTGAAAGTATGCTCCTAAGACATAAGTGGAATCATGTCAGATATATAATATATATTTATGCCGTATTTATCATTGAGTCAGTTCAAGTTACATTCTCTTGTTTCACCCAATTGATAAGATGGACAGATTAATTAATCAAATGAAATAGCACTTTTTAAAATCCCATTAGGCTATTTGGGTTACAAAAGCAAGTGTAATTTGTAAATACAAAAATTCATCAAGGTCACATAATAAATATGGTCGCTTTTAACCACAAGGGGGCTATCCCGAAAAATGTTGTCTTGAGAAAATCAAAGTTAAAATATTTGGACCCTTATTCAGTTTCTTTAAAAGATAAGGAGAGTTTTCTCTATAGCCGAACAAATACATGTATATACACTGATGAAACCAAGCTTCCCTTTTATGTTGGGCAATGCCCACTTTTGGTGTTGGTCAACATTTCTGGAAACCCACAAAATCTGGGTTAGTCTGCTTGTCCTTAAAAGCGACCATATATCACACTAATGCCGACAATTGGTGGGGTTTTTTGTTTTTTTTTTACCTCCCCCTTCGAAATGATCTTGTTTTCTGGGAACATTTCCTCCTTTATTTCAAATCTAAGTGAAAAAAAATTCAGTCTGTCTAGGCTTATACTTTTAAAAAATAAGATGCTTCCTGTTGTGACCTCTCGTAGCAGGTTTGTCTTTTCTGGAAATGCTGATCACACTGTCTGATTTCTTTTTTTTTATCTAGCTCTGAGATTGTTTTGTTTTTATCTTCGTTGCCCAGGAGCTGTTGATATGATTCAAGAGGCAAATCAGAGCACATTCACCATGGACGAGAGGGGCGGGGTTCAGAGGAGGTCGGTCATCATGGCCATGTTCCAGAATGCTCCAAGTCTGAACGACGCCAGGACAGTTCATGAGGCTCTGCTTAAGGCTGGTGGTCTCGTTCCAGAGTCAGAGACTATGCTGGTGCATACGCATTACGTCAAAAAAGTGTTGGAAGGGTAGGTGCCAATGGTAGTTTAGTGTTTAGGCTGATGGACCCAAAATCATTGGTTCAAATTTCGGTCTAGGCCAGATGTTGTGCACGTGGTAAAGGTACTTAATACAAATTTTCCTCATTTTGCTCAGGTGAAAATTACCTGGCAAAAGACAGTGAAAGACCTAGTCAGTTTGTTATGGTTCGATAGATGTGTAACATGGCAACTCGCTATAAATGCTTCACAAGAAGCTGAGAATGTTTTATAGGGTAATACAGCCTAGCAACACATAATGAACACGCACATATATAGAAAACAGATTTTCAGGTCCTGAAATTTTTCTTCAATATTTTTTACATTCAAAACATGTGCATTGCATGAACAAGGTGCACATTGCAGTTCAGAAGCGTTTTAAAATTTGTATCTGTAACCAACTAGAATGTATGTTTCTGATCTGTGTCTATCTCCAGTGCTGGAGATGCTGAGCTGATGTCTCGTCTGGTGGATCTGCACAAAGACCACCATGTGTTCCCCTGTCTGGAGCAGGTCCTCACTCGACTTATCACCAACCAGGATGTGGAGAAACTCAAACTAGGTGAGTGCTCCAGTTGTGCTCGAGCACTGGCTCACACAGTTACACAAGATCTGAAAGTACCCTGTAGTGACCTTCAACCACCTACTCTAACGCCAACTTCTTCACCATAAAACAAAAATATACGATAACAACATTTTTTTTATTTTAAAGGCAAAAAGTTCCTTTGTTTTGTTATGGTATGTTTTTGTTTTATGGTGCAGAAGTTGGTGACAGAGCAGGTCGTTGAAGGTCAGTAGGCCTACTGGTAAGTCTACTTCTTTTTTTTCCTCTTCTGTTTCTTTCTGCCTGTCTTACTTTTTGTCCTCACACTAAATGGCCATTATTGATATTGTATGGATGTGCTTGTTGTTTTCAAACCTCAAGCTTCTGAAAGTACTCTGTCACTTTCTTTTTACAGAATATTTGTTAATTATATGTGTACCTCCTCCTCTTCAGCCATGGATCTGGGCATCAGTGTGCAGGGAAACAGCCTCTTACATCACCGCCTGGCTGCCAGTTTTGTACAGGCCGGGATGCCGTCCAAGGCCATCACAGTTCTACAGGTTCATCTTATGTTTTCTTTTTAAATCTGTTTCTTAACACATTACACCCTAACTCGCCCGGGATCGCCTGGGAATTTCCTTACGCGCTCCACCCTAACTCGCGCTGACCTAGCGTCTTTAGAAACGAAGTCTCGCCTTAACGAGACCCTGGGGCCAAGATTTTGATTTGCGTAGTCATTGCAAATTGTTTCTTCTTCCGTGTGATACCGAAATATTAGAGCCGATTGAAGTGCGATCACGTTTCCGACTCTTCGAATGTGTCTCGACTTCTTGAAAAGCAACACAATTGAGTTTGAAAAAGGTTTTATAACGATGGATTTGAGCAAAAACAAGCATATGACAAATCAGAAGAATCAGATTTTGATGAAAACATTGCAGCAAGAGTTTGGGGCGATTCAGATTGACCAGATGTCGAATTTAGATCTAGGGCCCGACCGCGAGGCTGAGAGTGAGAGTGACGAGTTGGACACCCCGACTGAACTGAAGTTACAACATTTCCAACAATTTGCACATACATAAAGTTATATTTTTCTGGAACTACATTCATTTTTCTTTTTAACTTATATTTTTTCAGGATTTTTGGAATTTGTTTAGTATTTTTAAATGTTTTTTAAATGCTTGTATTCATGGGAGGTGGGCTCCTTCCCCTTGCTTAGGATCTAGGAATGAACTTGGACTTTGCGTCCAGACTCTTAGGGTGAAATGTGCTAAGTTGTATTTTGAAGATGCATAAATGCAATATTTGATGGTAACGCCATCATTTATTCAATAGTTTGCATTATCTTCTTTAAGATTTTCTTTCAAAGAATAATCTATTTCATGTCGATAAAGATATGTCTGTAGAATTTTCAGTCTGCACAGCAGAAAGAAATAATGTTCAAACTCATTAGTATCTCAGTGTTACTCTGTCTTTTTTATTTTAAATATGTATATGTGGAAAGTAAAATAAATTCCTTTTTAACTGATCATACAAATAGTAATGTGTGTAGATCAGCAGTACTCTTCGCATTACAAGTTACAATTTTGTGCGAAGATCTTCCTTAAGGATTTACCTTTTTCTTTCCAGCTTTCAGAATTTCTTACATTTCATTAATTATTCATATTTTCCCTCAGACTCCTGGTTTGAGGATCAGTCAGAACCAGCTGTTGGCAAGTTGTCAGTATTTCATAAAGTTTAAGCAAGTAAGTATGGCAGTCATGTGGCCTTTAGTCTGGATTTGTCATCAGCTGTGGCTGGCTTTTCATTACCTTTCATCAGTGACCACTGAGGAAAAGAAAACAATTTCTACAGCTGTTCTCAGAAAGATTACAAACTCTTAATCAGTTATCGGCTGCTTTGAGGGTTTGTTTCTTGTGCCGGTAGTGTAGTATTGTTTTAGTTGCTTAGACGGAGAAATATATTGATTTTGTAATCTTCAGTGCCGTTTGGATGTATGTACTCGATTACGTGCTTCAAAATTGGTTCTCTGCCATTTTTTCACCGATCTATTGGGGAAGTTTTAGATGATGCAAAAATGGCTAGTGCCATTGTTTATTCTTGAGAGGGGGAAAGCTAGTGTTGTTTAAGTCTCTTGAATGAACGTTAATCCTATACAGATGTATTTGGAAATGCCTTAGCTTTGAAGTGGTTAAGAAAGGCAGTCATTTTTATTGTTTGGTGTATGGTGTGTTTTGTTATGAAACCCTTCATATACGATTTTGTTTTGCCCAATTTAAAAAAAAAATTTTTCTTTTAGATTCAGAACTTGGAGTCTTTGGTAGACATTGCTAAGCACTTTCCTGTAAGCCGAGCAATTATGCTGAAGCAGCTGATCATTGGTTATGGTGAGTGTGGCTGAGTGTAGTTCTGGTTGTAGGAGAGTGTGGAACTCACTGTCTGTAGGAAAGTGTTGATCTTATTTCAACCAGTCATGGAGAAGAAACGAGCATTTTTGTGTAGGCGTATCCCGCTTACCGCACTTTGGGTCAAGTTGTCATGTTGTCTACCACGCTGTCTTCCTATTTGTGCTTCGTTAACTTTGTCAGTGTTATGTAGGCCAGTACTGTGCGCTATTCATTGTCTCATCCTGGTCCTTAGAGCACAAAGCACTGTATACCCTAGGAGTCTTAATGTGTTGCAAGTGCCGTAAAACTCTCACTAGAACTAAATTTTTTTAATACCCTAGGAGGGAAAGTAAAAGGGCATTACTTTCACTGCTCATGAAATGGCTTTGAGAGTTCCTTTTCTCAATGTTAAGATTGATACACATACAGTGGAACTCGGATTCAATGAGCTCGGATTCAACGAGATGAGAGAGATTCCCCGGTTTTTTTTCTTCTTTAAAATCAATGAAAATAACCCAGATTCAACGAGCACTTAAATCAGCGAACTCGGATTCAACGAGGTCGCTTCCAGGGTGAACAGCCCCCGCAGGCGTTGCTTCGCTCATTTTTCTCCCTGAACGAACTTTATCTATTCCAGGGAAACCATCCATTGCAACTGCATCGTGAACCATTATTCACTTAGCCGATTGCATGCAACCAATCAGCGGCCTTTTTTCATACCAATACATGCGTGTGTCGGAGACGGATGGGCGGCCTGCACACGTGTGACTGTGTGTGTGTCGGGGAGGGGGGGGGGGGCAATTATCTACACAAAACCTTGTGTTTGCTATAACGAACACTCGGATTCAACGAGATTTTAGGTCGGGCCCAGCGACCTCGTTGAATCCGAGTTCCACTGTACATGCATGTTCACTGTTCTTTGTTAACTCACTGAAGATGTGCTTTCTGCATGGTTACTTTAAAAGACGAGGAATAACTTCCATATATGCATACAGATATTTCAGTTCTTTTTCCTTTATCTGAAACTTTAAAAGGCTGGCAATGATATGCCTGCTATCAAAAATTCAAACTCGTGTTTCTGATTTGTGTATAAAGGTTGGAAATGTGCAACAATGTTTGTCTTTGGTTTGCTGCTGATTGGACGTATATGTCCGCTATATCGACAAAGAGTTAACTGTAACTGCTATCTACATTTTTTTCTGCTTTGAGAGGAAAGAGAGTAAAGAAGTAAAGAACTCGGAAGACAACTTCTGTAACTGAATTTTATTTTTCAGCCTTTTACTGCAGTCTGATACATGTAAACGTGTATTTGATGTCTGCTTCCGGTTTCATTAAGTTGAACATTGTACTTTAAAATAGTGGTGATCGTTGTGGTGTCTTTTCACAGTTGCTGCAGACGACATGACCAAAGCACTGGATGTCCTTCAGACGTTCAATGAAGAATTCATCACACCCCACAAAGCTACATTGAGTCTTCTAGTCAATGCTTTGAAGACAAGAAATATGGATATACCAGACACACTTGAAAGTTTTCTCTCAAATACATCTTCAACCTCAACGGTAAGTCTTTGAACGAGGAGGGTTATTTTTTCTCATTCTGTAATGCTAGTGGTATGCATAACGTTCTGCTTGTTTGTGTTACGCTTTGGGCCTGGAGGAGTGAGCGAAGTAATAGAACGCCTTTCTTCTTTTCGCTACTCAAGGGTTTTTACTCTTTGTCTTGCACTCTCTCCTTGAGGATTGCTTGCTCTTTCTTGTTTATTTTTTTGTCATGTTTTCTGTTCCTCAATAATTCTCACACTCTTTCACTTCCTCTCTCTTTCGCTATCCCCCGACTCTCTCTCTTTCTCTCTCTTTATATACACATATATAATTTTTTTTCATTCACTCTCTTTCTGTCCATTTGTCTATTATTACAGTGGAGTCCACTTATACTTATAACGAGTCCGGAAAAAACGAGAAGTCTCTTATAAAGACTCTATTCTAAAACCCCGTTTTTTTTCTCTTCTCTACGTTTGTAAATAAAATACTGTTATAGCACAATCAGACAAACTCGACAAACAGACGAGTCGGTCATTACGGAATATTGCCAATTATACATAATGTAACACCTCGCCAGTTGAGAAACTAGTTGGTGATCTAGCAAAACAAAGAATGGGAGCTATGAGTGTCAACAATGAAGACCGGAGCGAATGAGTAGGGAGGGTGTGACATGCTCAGACAAGCAGAACGCATCGCGTGATACGCCAGCGTAAGCCTAGTTTGAATTATCGAAGCCTATCAATCATGCCTCTCACTTCTCCGATGGGGGGATGGAGAGGTCACATTGCTGTGATGGATGGAGTGAATGTGTGACGTGCGCAAGCTGACGGAATGCACCACAGGATGTGGTGGGGTGGGGGAAAACACAGCGGGTGAGTTAGCCTAGAGACCTTTCTTTCTGATCGCCAACGCCGAGCTGTCAGCCAAGATCGCTAGATCTAGCGCTAGAGAAAGAAACCTGATTCGATTTTTGATCAAGTAAGACCTAGAGGTCATGTTGAAACAAAATCATCATCAGGGGAGAAAGCAAAAGGAAATAAACAGAACACCAAACTCATAGATTAGGCCTACTTTACAGTTTCCCTTGAATTTATTACTGGATCCTTTACAACGAGAATCCTGCTATAGCGGACATTTTGCTCCGGTCCCCTCCCTCTCGTTATAACAGGATTCCACTGTATTTCACGTTTGTGAGGACCAGCTTTGCAACTAGACAAAAATATCTCGGACATTTGTGAATGCTTGTCTTCACAGCACCCTTAGAACAGGGAAAAAAGAGGAATGTGTTGGACCAGTCAGAATCAGACTCGTGTTGCAGAATGTAGTATGAATTTGTCTTGAAAGAGTCAAACTGTGATGCATGTTCTTTGATTCAGTGCCTTCAAGTATACTTGAAATTGTCTTGTGCCTAGGTTTCATTTTCATGATGAGCAAATTCTGGAATTACTATTTTGAGTCTTTTTAAGAGTGACTTGACATAATTTGTATATTTCCAGTATCAATGATGCTTGTTTTTTTGCAGTGATTTGTGGAGGAGGTTTCTCATTTCATACTCAACTCGTCGGATGTCTCATCTTGATCTTGTGTATCTTGTCTCCAAAGCCTAATAATCATATTTCTTGTCCTTTTTTATGTAATTAAGCAGCACAACAGTGGCAACATGTCGCTTCAATGGTTTTGCTGTTGATAGTTTTTTTGTTGAGAATTTGATAAATGATTTCAACAAATATAGTTAATACAAATGGATGCCAATATCATTCACTATTGCTCATGATGTTTCAATGCTCTTTTCTTCCGAGGGTTTTTTAAAACATGCATACAGTTATGAGAGTTTCTGCTCAAGTTATTGACTTAATATGTACTTGGTCTCGTTTACTGCAGAGCAACATTGTAGGTGAGGAGGAGTCATCATCTTCATCATCAGATGAAGGAGAAAGCTCATCATCATCATCAGATTCTGATAGAGAAACCGAAATTCCTGGGAGCTCCTCACCCTCCAAAAGTCAGGGGTCATCGGCCCAGAAGTCTGCTGAGGGAACGGAGAGTGGGAAGCCTGAGAGTAATTCCAACCCATTGACCACACCAAAGGACAAAAACCCTTCTCTTTAGATTTATTGATTAAGGTGATCAGTAGTCAAGCATTTTGTTTTGAGTAGCTCTGGAAGTTTTGATTTGTCAGGGAAAGTAATTTATGTTAAAATATGTCATATGTGCATAAAGTAAAGCATTTTGTGAAAGAAGATTAACTCCCCCTAGTGATTTGATAAGAAACTACAGATATAGGCCTACATGGGTTAATATTAATAAAAGATAAACCAAATATACGCCTGTTGGTCTCAGGAAATCAGGAATTTGTCGCCTCTCGGCCACTTTGAGTTTTGGTGCTTTTCTGAAAGCTTGAGTGTTCCTGATTATTTAGTCAAAATTTTTCAATTCTTTTTTATTGGATGAGCTATTGCATTTTGAGGTAACAAAATGTGGAAAAGTAAGAACTGAGAAAAACGGATTCAACGTTACACCATTGTTGCTTTTTAATGTCTGAATGCAAATGGAAAATAAATTGAGAAAAGATAATATTTAAAGTGGTTTTCACAAGAAACAGCTCTTGAAATATTGTGTGAAATGGTTGGGGCATCCTGGTGGTTTGCATGACTCAAAATCAACCAGAATTGACCACACTGACTCTATTTTTGCCGATATCTTGGTTCGAGGTTTAGTGACATATTCCTGGTTTCCTCAGACTAGCGGCCACCTCTATAAGACGGTCACCTGTACAATCGACCACTTTCCATTTCCCCCCCTTGCGTTTTTTCTATATAATTTAACTGTGTAAAACGGGCACCTGTCCAACGCGGCCGCAGCCACCATATTTTAACACACAACCCCTATCACACTAAGCAATAACACCTGTCTTAGACGGCCACCTTAGTGACTTCATTGCGTTTTGTCATAAATTGTGCATTGGCCCCTGGTGTTGTGGGCGAGCCGTCATAATTCAATCACCTGTGGTTGCTGTTAGGTTGTCATTCCAACCGATCATGTTGCGTAGGTCCCTCCCACTGTTGACCAATTTTCAGCTGCTGGTGAGGTAAGTGAGTGATCCCTCATAACCCAGAAGCCCCGCCCAGAACTCATACGCAAATCGTATGTGAGATGAGTGGTCACTGTTTACCCAGTCTGTAACAAAGGACGTCAACATGAACTTGTGACAGAAGCGTCGCTCGTTCTCCGAGTGGTGGCGACCTATGTGTTTGTTTTAACATGGCACTCGGTCTTCCTCGTCTGACACGTTTCGTTTCATTGCCACCCTTGTGCAAAATCAGCAACAAAATAAAAAAATTTTTAAACACAAACCAACAACAACAAAAACAACAACAATGCGGCTACTTTCGATTGGGACTTCAGATGGGAATGGTTTGTTTTCTTCATCTTGATCAGTCCTGTCTAAGACGGCCACCTGTCTTATACGGCCACTTTTCTCCTTGACAATTGGTGGCCGTCTTACACAGATTTGACTGTATATTAGTGACTATATATATATATATATATATATATATATATATATATATATATATATATATATATATATATATATAAATTTATATAGTCTAGCATGCACATAGCAAACATGCACATAGTGAAGCACACATATAGCGAACAGATTTTCAAGTCCTGCTTTTTTTCTTATAATGTCTATTCTTTGTTCTTAAAATATGTACTTTTTACTCCAACGAAAGATTTCTGTGTCCCACAGATTTTGTTGTGTGCATGCTAGACTGTAGTTTGCTGCCCTGATGACACAATCAAGTATAAATCAAAATGACTTTTTCTTTTACCTCAATCTATAATTTGTAGAGAATGACATTAGCAGAAAGAAGATGAAGCATTCACAATCTATTGAGTCTAAAGAAACCAGACAATTTTGGTTGACATTGTTCGTCAATTGTGTTCAAAGGTAAGAACTGAGAAAACCAGATGCAGCTCCAAAATATGTGGCGGTTCAGTAAAATATACAGTCCAGCAAGCAAATGAAGTCTGAGGGAAGTGGTAATCTTTATGTTATGTACAAAGTACAAAGTTTACTATTAGATCTACATGTTTTTAATACAAAGAACATAATATTAATATATATAACAAAAAGTTCAAGACTTAAAAAATCTGTTCGCTTTGTGCATGTTTTGCTATGTGTTTGCTAGACTATCTGAATATCAGTATGTGAGGGAATCATTGCCCCTGAAATGGATTTTTTTGGGGAAAATCTTTTTTGAAGTATGCGTTATACAGGTTGTTAACAGTTTTCTGACCAAATGAATAATGAGGGGTGTTAGGGGGTGGGGTTGGGAAGTGATAATAAATTATTGAAATCTTTCTTTTGGTATAAATTGTATGTTCCAGTGAAATGAGGGGGGGGGGGGGGGGTTGTTGCATATGGTTTGATGAATGGTGGTATGACTATGAGGGTAGTACGAGTGCCGGGTGTGTTCCAGTTTTTTGTTGGTTAGTGCAAATATTTCATCAGCTATTGTGTGTTTGTGGTAAGCATTGATTACCCTATGTGATATATGTGTTATATCTGTGTAAGAGGACTGAGAGTGAATAAAGAATGCTTATTACATTTTCAAATTGTACTCGAGTAATTTTATTGAGGCATGCTGTATTTGTCATGTCAAGACTGCATTCTGTAATCCTGTACTAGAACTAAAGTCTGGGCATGTTTAGCCTCAACATTTGTCATCCCTGAAGAAGGTGGTATCTCCTAAATCAAATGTTCTGGCCCTAAAGTATTAATAATTAATAGGAACTTAATAATTGGAACTCTCCTTAAACAATGAAGTGATATTAGACTAGAGGTAACCCTGTACACTTTGTACCTCAGTATCTGAACAAAGACATAGACTGCTCCGAGCTAATCAAAATAAATTTTCTGAGACCCATTGTAAATATATACTGTAGACTTTGCTTAAGATTAAGATGATATTGAAGAACAATCAAAGTAGGCCCTACTCTGATATATGTCCTCTAACAAGTCTTCTGCATAATTACCGGTATGGTCAAGGTAAGCACACAAAAAATGTCATTAAAATACCGGCATATATGTTAAATAGTTATCGTAGTTAATTGAAAACGCAGTCCATTTTAACCGTAACGAGAAACTCCATAAATCATTTCAATTCAAAAGACAATCTCTGCAAATTGTTTAGTTTCCAAATATTTCATAGAAAGCCAGGGTGTGTGTGCTGAAGCCTTATGATCTAACTGTTGATTTTTGTGGAAGGCATTTCTGAACTGACCGAACTGCATGTACAGCATCCCAGCAAAACAGACAGAGACACTTGATAAAATAAATTTTCCCATGCAGGAATGCCTCACTCTCCTACACTACACCATAGACACCACCACAGACACTGGTGAGGACAGTGAGAGATTGAGGAAGAAGAAAGTGTTTCAGCCAATATCAACATTCTTGGAAGTGGGATCACACCCGTGAATTGACTCCTAGCTGTAATGTTTGTTCTTTCCTTTAACCCCTTCGTTGCCTTATGACGTACCTGATACTTCACTAAAATGACTAAATCTAATTTTTAGCGCTCTGCTGTACCGTGTACGTCACAGAAGTTGGCAGAATTTGCCGCTTCTGGTTGCCAGTGAGATGTTACATGTACATCACGCCTGGCTCTAATTCTTCTGTACAGAGTTTTAACCACCTACGTAGATTTGTATTCGGAACTGAAAGACACGCGTATCGGTATCAAATTTGCTTGTATTACTTTACTGTTAGCCTTGCAAGCGATCGACAAACACAGATCTAGGCTTGTGGGCAGCCTCGTGCTCTCGTAAAATGTAATCATCGAAATGACTTTAGAAAATCAAATAAATTCTTTTTGACTTAGATTTGCAGGTAATTCGAAATTATGACTCAAGATGGTAGGAAATAGGGAAGAAAAGTGACAATCGAAGACCCGGTGTCCCAAATATGTCATGAATGATCTAGATCTAGACCACGCGGCCATTAACCCTGAGACATTAGGCTGTTGTCCTGGGTAACGAGCTCAGCTGAAAATCAGTGCTGACAGTACGAACGCGTACACTCGGGCAACGAAAGGGTTAAGGAACAGAGGAGACGTAAACTAAGGTCCTTTGAGGAACATTTTTTTATTTGGTTTGGTTCCCTCCTTCTATTTTGCAACAACCTATTCATTACAGCACAGGTAGAGACAAGATTAATCATCACAATACTGTGATCAGCTTGGACTTGAATTTGAAACAAATTACATTTATTCAGGCCACAGAAAAGACAAAGAGATCAACCTAAACGGGAATCTCATTCAAGAAAATAAACAAAATCACTCAAGACTACATTTTCACACAGCACACTTGCTGCACTTTCAGCTCTCAGTTTGGTCAATGGAATCATATCATTGTACTTTGTAATTCAGTCTTTCGCATACAGTAATGCAATTACAAAAAAGTTGAACATAACATTCAAGCATACTTGTGTCATGACTACATAGAATCAGGTGCTTGTCAATTTTTAGGTATATACATGGAGATACTGGTATAAAATCTTAAAATGAGTTAAAGCTTTTCCATTTGTCTTGCTTTTTTATGAAAAAACATACCCATCTATCCTGAATAGAAGTCGAGATATTTGCAACTGAAAAAGGTGAAGTTGCAGTGTCAGAGGTAAAATAAGCAAGAAAAAGGCTACCTAAGTTAAGTGACTTCCAAAGTTTTAATTTAAGTGTTCTTCAAAACTGCAAATTTACTTTTTTTTTTCTCCTTTTTTCAGTTTAATCCATGCAGAAATATTTTGAACGGACTTGAAAGGTATTGAGCCAAACAAATAAAATCAATAAAAATTGCCCAACCGGCAAAGAAATGTTGAATTCTATTTTCTTCTTTTGATGAGCGCCTGATTTCACCATGATGTCACACATTCTAATATGACATAGAAACAACTCTCAGACAATATTACAAATGGGCTTCATGTGAGATAACATCAAACCAGAAGTAGTATAAAAGTATTCATGAATATATGAAAAGCATGTTTAGTTCTTTCTCTCTTCCATTCTTAATCTTAAAACAAAAGTAACCAACAAAATGTCTGACCTGACAAGTCATGCATCCTTTCTCTGCAGCAGAGTCAAAAACAGCTGAGTGAGAACAATCTTGAGGGACTAATTTTACTTAAAATCACTTTCCGAGATTTCGTCCTGAAAAACTAAATTTGTCAAATTGAAGCAGAAATTCCATATGATTCCCCTGAGTGTGTTTTAAAAGATAGTGATACTGAAGATAGCCTAAATACTTGCTAGTTTTTGCAAACTAGAATATGATTTTTACCTTTAAAATCATGATCTTGTTCTTTTCTGTCAACCTATCTGTGCTAGATCTTTCACAGTATGTTCCTCTGACTACACAGGTCAAGAAAATGTAAAAAACTCAATTTTCAAAAATAGCAACACATTTAGTTCCAAATGATAGCAAAACTTGAAGGATGCAATTCCCAGTAACAAACTACCTGAGGTATACTTGAAATCATTCTTGCATGTTATATGAACTATAAAACTACACAGAATGTACGCCATACCTCGCCATAAGACTTGTTGGGTGAGCCACTAATAAGTGAGGGTGACAGATATAGTGCAATTCATTGAGAAGACAGGTGAAAACAAACACTTTTTGTTTAACAAAATCATCTCACTTTTGGAGAGATAAAAACTAATTATGGAAAGCTATTTTACACATTAACTTCCACATTTTAATTTGACAAGTAAGAAACTTTTCAAACTGGCTCAACAATAGGTTTCACAATTCTCAGAAGCCTTTTTGTAAAAAAAAAAAGCAGACAAGTAGAGACACTGAAGCAATGCTCCATTTGAATGGTACTATATCACTCCGTTTAGGAACAGAAACAGTAGCCATAATCTTACTGCCTCATGTCATTCGAAATGTAAACTGCACCCCCTTCCAAAATCCCATAAATCATAGAGCCAATATGGCATTTTAACAACTAGTTCAACTAGCTATCGTTCTTGACACAGTGAGACAATTTCTCAAATTAGTACTTTTGTCCTGACCTGATATGAAACCAGCAGAACAATGACTGAAAACTTGTCTTTGAAAACAGTTGGTCATATTTTAGGCATTGACTTTGACTTTGATAAATATGTATGAATTTTTAGAGTTTGGTTTTACAGTTTAGACTATAGTGGCTTCAAAAATTGCCATGGAATTGAAAAATTAAAATGGTAAGTACGAGCAATTTTTAACTTTTGGAAACAAAAAGTTGCTTGCACAAAAAAATCATTTTAAAAAAATCTTTACTTAACTACAGAAGGATGAGGAGAGAAAATAAAAATATAGACAGTGTCATACATCTTTTGGATCTACAAGACGAATGTTAGATGCTCCAGACCTATTCTGCATAGCTTTCTGAAGCTGTATGGACTTGAACCTCTCCTGAGCCAGCTGATACCTACAGACACCCCTGGAGAATAAATGAAACATAAAAACATTATCTGAGTTGTTGTTATCGATCCAGAAACATTATCTGAGAGGGTCTTACCTCTTCAACCACAACAATAATAGAGTGAAGACTAATATAACCATGGCAGAGCAAGACTGCTGTTTTATCAAAACTATTGCTTGACTTTCTAGCAGAACCCAATGTTTACGTAATGAAAATAAAAAACTTTTGCAAAGATATACAACTACAGAAATACTCTTTTTCTTGGTTTTCCTACTAAAATAGCAGGCTAAGTACCCTTTCTGTACGAAGAAAATTCAACACCGCACCAAAAATAGGATGAAAAACAAATTGTACCCTTCACTTACACTTACAGAATTTCAAGACAGGCTGTTTAATATTAAAAATTTGCAGAATGCATTCAGGACAAATATAATACATTATTATGCTGACTTCTATTTATGCAGAATGCAAAAAAGGTGCAAGTTAACAATTAAGCCTCCAGAATTGAAACTGAAACATAGAATAGAATAAAAATTTGGTCAAATTTCACCCAAATTTAAGGACACAGTCATGCACAAAATTAAAATTTGAATGTAAAAGAAATCAACAAAAACCATGCTTACCATGTTCCAAACAAAATCACCATATAACTGCCTAGCCCATACTTGGAAGCTTTGGAAACATTACCTGAAAAAAGAATTATGGATAAACTGCAATAGTTGTTTTCAAATATTAGACATCATATGGCCCGCTGATAAGCCAAGACCATGACTAAGAACATTTTATTTTTGACAAACATTGTTTACTTCATTCAATTGATCAAAATTGAAGTAGCATCCCAAATGTAATTAGTTTAAATAAGGAACATTGGACTGGTTTGTTCAGAGTAATCAAAGGCATACTTCTACTTGAGTATGTTTTCATCTTTGATTCCAATGGCAAGTTTACACATCCATAAAACTTTCAAAATGACAATACAGATCAGATGAAGATAAATAAATTGCGTCAAAGAAAAATACTAAACAAACTCACAAATTGAAAGCATAATTATAAGGTTCTAAAGCTTTTTTTCATACCACACTTAACATATTTCCTGTTACATGTTCCAACATGACAGCCATATGACGTTGAAACAAAACAAAGATCTTACATCATTGTTCATTTGAAAGACATTATTTTAGAAATTAGGTGAAAGTTCACAGTATAAAAAAGATTGTCGTCAAACCTGTCCAAGACCATGCATTGTCAAGAAAAAAAGTTTGGTAGTCATTGCAGACAGGTGGTTCTCATGGACAGTGTCATTGTAATATTTAAAAAACGCAAGGGGGAAAGTGGGAAGCGGTCGTATGTACAGGTGATTGTCTTGGATAGGTAATAATTATTACTGCAGGTTCCACTGTGTTAAACAATTACTATGCAAAACTGAAACTTTTCCTCAAATAGTCTGTATTTGCCATGCACAGACAAAAAGATCAAGTTCTATCCTTGAGCCAGCAAAACATTATATGAATATACATAGCTTTCCTATTTGTCATTTCAAGTGAAGCCAAATTTTAAGTAAATTAAAGTTCATAACATACCTCGGAGCATTTAGTCAGTCGTAATATACTGGTCCAACAGTCTTGCTTTTACTTTTATACTCTCATACCATAGAGCTCCTAGTACATGTAGTTTAAATCTATGTCTCACACTCACATACTTCATGAGACTCACTCACATGGACCGCTCCTTTCAGTTTGGAGATTCCTCACAACTACCAACAAACATGTGAGGCTAAAGCTCATTTAGTCCAGAATCTTCGCATTTTTAATCAATGCTTCACTATACCACCTGTATACTTACTTGTAAACAAGAAATATCCCAAGCCAACACTGATGCCACCACTAATGCCATACATGAAGGATTTTCTCATGCATGGGATGAGGAATATTCTCTTAACAAAGCCAGGCTAGGAAGACAGAAAAGAAATATTATATTTAAAATTTAAATACTGATACTGTGCATTGTTTTATGGTTGTTTGTAAAGATGATATACACTGTTTTGTACTGTCTATTTCAAGCTTCTATTTTTTACGGTTACTGTGGAGAATCTTTAGATCTTATTTAATTTCCCTGCTCCAGCTACCAAGCTGTGATGTAGTGTCTGCCAGAGGGCAAAATCATCAGTGTAAAGGGTCTTTCGGATTTCATTCCATTCATCACATCATTTTATAAATCAAGAACTAAGTGCAACTGAGACAGGATCCTTGGGGTAGGAACTTGCAAGTACTATAAGCGCTACAAATACACCTTGAAAATATCTTCAACATAAATACTTTAAAGTGGGAGAGCCTAGCTCCTGACAGACCCAGTTGAAAAGTAGCAGTCATAGTGGGCAGCAAGTCATAAGTATACGAGGTTTCATGAATAAAAAATTAAGAGAGCAGTCAACAAGCTGTGCACACTGACTGTGGAAGTGAAGCTATTGAAGGCTCAAAATGAGGCAAACTTTCCCCTGCCAGAATTGGTCTCATTGGCCAGAGTAGAAGCCACGTGACATCCCTTTAATTCTTATATTTCGCTTGAGAAATATTCTCTGGAAGCATTGCTCATCATCTGACATTAACTGACGAACTACTATCATTATTATTTATTATTATTCCAGTTTAACAGTATGCTCTATAACTAAGCGTTTTACAACCTATAGGGTCTACACTAGTATTACCCAGCAGACCTTAAAACTCTCAGATATATATGAGGGGGTATCAATAAGTTTTTTACTTAAGTATGAAGGAGTGGAGCTATGAACTTGAAATTTAAACATATAAACTAAGAATGCACACCAATAATTGGGAATTTCCGATGGCTAGTCCAGGTTGTACAGCAGGCAGTTTAACATCACCCTTAAAAGCAGGATTAGCACTTTTCATTTTTGTTCACAAAATGGAAAAAATGGAAATGAGGGCTGTGATGAAGTTCCTTCATCTCCAAGGAAAAAAAACACCGTCCGTCCGCACAAGATGAAATGTCAGTGGTGTATAGAGATATCTGCCCAAGCTATGATGTGGTAAAATATTGGTGCAAGCGATTCAAATGTGGTAACATGTCCATTGAAGACAACCCTCGAGAAGGTCACCCTGTCTCAGCCGTGACTGAATACAATGTTTCAAAAGTCAAGACGATTGTGCTGAATGACAGGCACTTTACTCTCGGATAACTTTGGCTTTGTACTGAAACTGGCTTGAGCTATGGATCTGTTGAGACAATTCTTCATGACCATTTGAATATGTCGAAAGTGTCTGCAAGATGGGTGCCCTGTCTCCTAACCCCTCATCAAAAAGAACAGAGAGCACAGTGCAGTCAGCAAATGATTGACATGTTTGATGAAGATCCTGACAACTTTTTTTTACATTTAGTAACAATGGATGAAAGCTGGGTCTATCACTTAGACCCAGAGTCAAAATCTGCTTCAATGCAATGGAAAATACCATCTTCCCACATCCCCCTGTGCAGAATTCATCTGGCAAAGTGATCTTTTTTTTCTGAAGGACTTTTCAAGGTCATTTATCGTTGGTAAAAATGTGTTCTTGTGGCTGGTGTCCATACAGTGGAAACCATAATTATATAACAGGCCCGGTAATTACAGGGATCCGGTAATAACAGGGATGTTTAAAATCCCCGTTTTTTCCTACACTTTGTCTCTATTAAAAGTTATCGGCAATAACAGGGCCTCATTGGAGCCCAACCGGTTATAGCAGGGACAAAGGCTCGTTAACAATGTGTAAAAAGTATAAATGAGAGATAGAGAGAGAGAGAGAGAGAGAGAGAGACCGGTCGACCTAGATCTAAGCCTACTTCTTTCATTATCTCACCAACGATGTCAAGCGCAAGAGAAAATGCCTTTCAATTGACAAAAAATACGAAATAATCCAGACTTGACAAAAAGCAAGCTCCACTGGCAGAGATTTGTCGTCAGTTCGACATTCCACAAGGTTCGATTCACACCATTATCAGGGATAGAGAGAAGATAGTGGCAGCATACTCCAATGGAAAGTTTGCTCTGGATCGAAAGAAGATGAGACTACCCGATGCAGATGCTGTGGACCAAGCTCTTCAGATGTGGTTTAAGGACGCAAGGAGAAAGTTGGTGCCAAAACTCCTGTTCGTGGGTACTTGTGGCTAGGGAAACTACCCATGAACAAGTACAGCTAGATTAGTCCACAAATGTTCACTTTCCTTGCATTTCTGATTTAACAGGGATCGGATATAACAGGACTTTTTCTCTACTCCCACCATCCCTGTTATATCAGGTTTCCACTGTACTAAATTTCAAGTTCGTAGCTCCACTCCTTCATTCTCAGGTAAAAAACTTATTGATATCCCCTCGTACATTCTCGGCTTCCCAAGAAGCATAGTGTAAGCTGCCAAATGAGGGCTCAAACACTAACAAGAAGCTGATGAGACCTTTTGATGTCTAGTCTACAGCCATTCCCATCTAGGTGCAGTCAGGAAAATGTGCGTTGAGTGCCTTTCCATGGATGCTCATTGATTCAATACATCCTGTCTCTAACAGTACAGTAACAGTGTCACTGACATCTTAACCATCTCATAAAGCAAAAACTACCATCCAGGTTGGAAGGTCAAAACCGAATTTGGCTTTTGTTTGTTTTTTTGGTTTGGTATTTAAGTGTTTTACGGCCCTCGTCCTTTATAAGGTCAATATGAGCGCGCGGGATACACTTAATATTTTCATGGGGTAGGAAAATTCTTAATTTTGTTCGGGAGGCAGCCGAAGCCTACTCTTATCGATTTTGAACCGCCAAGGGATCTTCAACGTGCGCAACTTGCACATGGGACCTCCAAGATTTTTCACCCTTGTCTAAGAACTTAAGAAAGCTAGGTGTAGATCTTTCCTATCACAAGATCAGGGGTGTGGCTGAAAGACAGCAGTAAGGAGCCAAGGAGTAGCATTTGAATGGCTGCAGAAAGAGTCAGGAGCCCAGAGGAAAGGGCAAAGGAGGTGAGAGGGAAGGGTAGAAGTGGAGACAAAAGCAGGCGACAGAACATGGTTAGAGCAGGAAAGGATGTGAAAGGAGAGCCCCAAATTTGGCTTTGAAGTTGGAGATTGAGGTAAATTTTTATTTTCACTCCCGCACACAGATGCAATGCTTTGGTGGCTATCTGCAGTATTTTTGGCTGTAGATTACACATATGTGAGGCAGCGTGGTGAAATCAGGCGCTCGTCAAAATAATGAAAGTCAAGAAACTAGCATTTTTCGGAGATTTGGGAATTTTAATCTAATTTTTGTTTTTTGGCTCAACACCTTTCATGCCCAAGAACACATTTCGGTGCGGATTTTACTTAAAAACATTGATTAAAGGCATAAAAGAAATAAATTTTCAGTTTACACGGACTCTCGAACTAAGGAAATAACTCAATTTTAGCAGCCATTTTCTCGCTAATTTTACCTGTGAAACAAGGCACCCTCCACCTCCTTCAATCGCCAATATCTTGACTTGTTAGAGATAAAAATTGATTTTTTTTTTTCAGCACAAAAAAGCAAGGCAAATGGACAGGCTTTAAGACAATACCAATAACTCCATATCCCCAAAATTGACGAGCGCCTGATTCCACCGCGTCGTGACACATATAGCAACAAAAACTTTCGCAAATGAATTCGTTTTTTAAAAAAAATTTCAAATCTAATTGCAAAACATCAAATTATGGGTCAAAACAGGTGACCATGCCCCCCCTGTAAACCCAAGATTTTTTTGTTACCTTAGGGTAGCATGCCCCCCTGAAAGTGAAACCCCCTGATTGGTCTAAACACTGGAAAATATGCAAGTTGGCTTACTAGTGTGCTAAAGTTCGATTAAAAACCATCAAATATTTCAAAAACTATTAATTGCGACGGAAATAAAGTCTAGAGATTCTAGATCTATTTGAGTTCAGCGCATCAATAACATGGTAGAAAATGGACCTCTAGAACCTAGATCTAGATCTAGAATCTTGTAGCTAAGTGTGAGGCAGGAGGGAAATCAAAAGAAAACAGAGATTGAGCATGGGCGTAATGAGTATTTAATTTTAATCACTAATAATGACCAACCTGACGGCAAATTATTATTTAGTAATAATTAGATGTAGCCCAACAATTCTATTATTACATATTATATAGGCCTATAAATTATAGCAAGTGGCTATTCTCTGGCGTCGCATCGGTCAATAGATCAGTAAGCTATTCTCCGGTAAACAGTCCAAACGGCTATTCATCAGCCTGACATCAAGGCTTAGAATAAGCACCTTCCTTTCGCCAACTCTTTCCATCTCTCTCTCTCACTGGCACACACACACACTCTCTCTCCCTGTGTGATTTTCTATCTATCCTATCTGTCTGTCTGTCTATTCTCATCTATCTCTATCTCTCTCTCTCTCACACAAATACACACAAAAAAAACACACACAATTACTTCTCTGACTCCCGCCTGCCTGTCAAGGCCAACCCTGGCTGAGAGTGATACAACGTCTGAGCAGATAGATATAGAACGAAGGCTGCTTGATGAAAATTTTTGCTTCTGGAATTGAACACGGGTCTTGTACGTGAGACAGTGAAGTGCCGAACCGCTACACCACAGACACAGGACAGGTTGTTTGTTGTGTAAATAACATTATATTACGTTATAATATGTGTGTATAATTCATTAGAATCGGAAGGACTTCCGTAACGAGCGACCACCTCATCAAACACAATAGAGAAGAGGCCTAGACCTAACCCTACCCCTACCCATAGCCATAACCGTCCCTACCCTTACCCCTACCCCAAGCCCAAGCCCTCAATTCTGCTCTGTCTCATTGACATTGTGGTCGCTCGTTACGGAAGTCCTCCCTTAGAATCTATAGTAGTAATAGACGGAGAATAGAACTAGATATCTAGCTTAGAAGATCTATTTACCGGCCCGGCGCCGGAGAATAGCCACTTATTTGCTAAAAATATCTCCTTGTGCAGACATGAAATATGAAACTGGAAGATTGCCTACAATTTACACACAAATAAAAGCTGAACTTCTAGAGATGACAGAGCAATATTATTCCCCGCATTTACCTCTTCATCCTCAGTATTTTCACCAAGTGAGTCCATTTTCGGTAAAGAGTGACTCTGGAAAAAAAAGTTAACCGGACAACAGAAAGTGTCCTCAAAGTGTCATTAGTTCAACTTTCGGTTTCCTACTTTCGTTTCGTAACAATAATCTCCGATTCCGTACATGTAAAAAGATAACATAACCTCTTATTTATGGAGCTCAAGTTTTTTGCTGGGGTTTTTTTGTTTTGTTTTTTTTGGTGGTGGTGGTGGGGGGGGGGGAGAAGGGGGGGGTCAATGAAATAGATTTAGAATCTAAATGTGAAAGCTATGAACACACTAACTAAACATTGATTTTGTTAACTCTTTATGTATTTTACCACTTTATATAGAAAAATATAGATTCCAATTCCAAGTTGTCCTTAAAGTTACAACAGGTTTATTTTCTGGGACATGGGTAAAATATACCAAGGACCTGCTACTAGAGAGGCCTAAAACTTCCTTGGTTGGAAATATAAACTTTACTTAGTAGATCTAGTCAGCTTTGTTTTTCAGTGAAACTATTTCCATTTCACACAGATAGAGACGGAATTACGTACTGTTCCAATGATCAACTGAAACTTTAATAAATTATAGGCTACAAGTTGATCTATAGTATAACAATATAATAATTTTTCTTTTGCTGTTGTTGCTTAATATGCAGTTTTTCTGTCAAAGAACATTTTGAAATACGTCTCGAAGAACAATAACCTCTAAGTCTAAGTAAAGAAAATGACATAGATCTAGTTGTCTTTTTTTAACCGTTGTATTCTCAGATATACCGTCAGCTCTATGCGTGATTTTAATATTATAGGCCTAGTGTCGTTTCGGTTTTTCCACCCATTTAAACAAAGTGTTTGTTTCACTTTTTTCAAAGACGGTTTACCAGGTTGCACAGAATTCTACACTTAGTGTAGAATTCTGTGCCAGGTTGTTGCTTTTATTTATTTATCAGAACTCTTCTGTTATGAAACAAGAACTGCTATAAACTTATAAAGCTAAAACTTCCTTACCTCATTTGTTGTGTGATCGACTGTTCTACAAAAATTGTTTATTGTTTTAATCGCCTGACTATACTAGATAGTTTTTGTCTATAAATTATAACATTAAGTGACAGGTATGTATGTCTTATATAAATTCTGACTAAGCAGTAGGTCTGTTTTATTTCTGTCCCAAGAAAACATAAAGAGAGAAGGAGAGCTGACGAGTGATGATACTGAGAGAAAGCGAAAGTAGAGAATCTAAGAGAACAGTACAGGGCAATTTGTTGGTGCTTTTTCAGTAGTTCCCACCGCCCTTATTTGAGCCTAGACCTACATCGAGATCTATACGTTTGATGTGCGGTGAGCTAAGATATCAAACGTAACAACTGCAAAACATCAAATTATGGTAAAACCCCCTGACCCATATCGCCCCCCCCCTAAAACCCCCCACCATATTTTTATTAGGTCAGGGGGGGGGCATGGAAACCCCCGTACCCTTGAGACCAAATCCGGCAAATAACAATTGCGGGGTGGGAACTACTGAAAAAGCGCCAGTTTGTTTACTTTCTCGACTTTAATTCTGGCCACGCCTAGATCTAGATCTAGACCCTAGATCTAGATTTCTAGATCTAGATGAAAATCTATGCTATGCATCCCCAACTGGATTTGCGCTGGAGTTAAGAATGCAAACCACGGCAATTTCATCATTTGTAGGGGACACTAGTGAACTCGTCACACAGTGAAGTCGTCACATTCCTCCAGTGATCTCATCACAGTTATCTCGTCACTTTGTTTGGGGCAAATTCAACCACGGGGTCACTTCAACGCCGCCTCAACGTAGACTTTTTTTTTGCGTCTCATTCGACTACAGTAGTCTCCGCCTAAACGCACGGTGTTAGGGAGGGAACCTCAGCGTGTGTTTATACGGAGCGTGCGTTTACATGAGAACCTTTCCAAGGGGAGGAAGGGACGAAGTCATCTCTACTCTTCATTACTCTAGTGATCTCCCTTGGAGAGAGGCGATCATTTTGACAGAATAATGACGACACGTGACTGTTTTGTGACGGATTCCCCAACTGGGTTAAAGAATACACGGCGTTGAATGGGGTGGGGGAAGAAAGACAGACTCAATGTTATGACTATGCACTACAAACGTCGGGAACAGATAGCCTAAGACTAAGAGGAAACTCTTGGTGATAGTCATAGAGACGACGGACCAGCCACGTGGCTTTCCAAGTGACCATGAGTCCCGACCATATATTCATGCAGAATCATTCTCTACATTCAGAGAAACATTTCTCTTGTGATTCGTTGAAAAAGTACGTTCTTCGAGAGCAGCTGATTAGGCTTATTTGGCTTATATATTATACATTAATCCTGTAGAGGCCTGTCTAGTGTTTTACGGCATTTACGCGTGTTGCGCATCAGGCCTAGGTCTAACTAAACAATACATGCAGTCACCCAAACACCATCAGAAACCTTCTCTCAAAGGTAGATCTACATTTCCAGTGTCCAATCAAAAAACATTTCAGCCCCCCCCCAACTTTAACTTTTCTCCGACCCGTCCCAGACCTAGATCTATGTGACAGTGGAAAGTTGGGAGGTGAAAACGCTGTCCATAACTCTGTTTGTTCGGCGTGAGGGGCACGCTCACCAATTTTCTAGGCTTGTCTTATGCTGGCTGTGCAGGTTCAAAGGTTGTAGTGAACATTTCCCCTTGTCAAGCTTTACCTGTCGGCATGTTTCGCGGATCGGAGCGTGCGTTTAGAGGGAGTGACCGTGCGTTTGTACGTCTAAATTATATAGTAAAAAACCCGTCAGATGACGAAAGCGTGCGTTTCAGCGGAGCGTGCTTTTGTATGGCGTGCGTTTAGGCGGAGACTACTGTACAGTGGGTGCCGCGTTCAACGAGGTCACATTCAACGAGAAGTCGGCTCCAACGAGGCAATCCTTATTCCCCGATTTTTTCGTCTGTATCTCTTTGTAAATGTACGTTAGTTCCAAACAAGGTTGCAAACAGACCGAAGTCACTTTCAAAAAGGTCGCGATAACCAAATAAAAGCAATTAGCGGCCCAAAAAGCTAAGAATTTTTCTCCTTTCTCTCCATCTCACATGAAACCGTGAAGCACAAGGCCCATCCTCGATTCCTAACTCATTGTATTGCTAGATCTAGTGTGCCTCCTAATAAATATTAATAATATTATGGGCCCCAAAGCCAAGAGGACAGGCAAAAGTTAGCCTACAGTAGGGATGGGAGGGGGTGGGTGGGAACTCGATGCGGGCTGTGGGAAACTGGATGAATTCTGGATCGGTAGGTGTAGATCGAGACCTTAATTTTTTTTTCAATTCTTATTTCTTCCCCTGATAAAAAAAAAACTCGAGCTCCTGCCTTTACTTTATGTAGATCTAGGCCTAGATCTAGATGTGAGAGGGTATGTTTCAATACGAGAAGTGTTGCGGAAAAAAAAAAAATTAAAATATACAGAAATGACGGTCAGAAAACAGCTCAAACACAAGACATTAGAGCAAAGAATTACAACATATGAAATCCGATGCCTTAGAAAAGCAGTAATTAATAAGACCAAGCAAGATAATTTCAAACCCCTTACACAATGGTGATTTCTGTATGACTCTTTTTTGTCCAGTAGGGTGTTGAATTGTCATAAAAAGTTATAATTCAGGCAGACGATTGTTCTGTAAGCTATGTGCTTGATCTCTCTCTAAAAAGGTAAATGACAAATTCAGTCAAGCAGGAGATGAGAGGTCTGTTCAGCAGCAAAGAAAGCACTGCCAAGTTATTCTTTTGTTTTCCCAGAATTAAACGTTTCACTCTCAATTACACTCAAAACTGATGTCACATGGAGCTGTTAGAAAACACTGAACGTAGCCTTCAGATCGAACGTTAGCAAGATGGACTTTATATTTAATACTGACATCTTTCCCATCAGTGTGTGTACTTAAAAAGAAAGTGTCTTACACTTACAAGAGAATTGTGGTCAAAAAGGTGAAAGTGCATGCAAACATTTTTTTTTTTTAATTTCAGTTTTCAAACTAAAGGTGTGGTTTAATTAGCTTATTTAGAGAAGAACTCTATTTGGAGAATCGGAAGGGGCTTAAAATTTGATCAAATACTATGTATTTAGAGAGTTAAACTGTTAATTTAGTTTTCTGAATTTCTTTCTCTGTATTGTTAAACATTCTGACTTTATGTGGGACTATATAATTATAAAATGGCATCCATTCATATTCACCTGTATATGTTGCAGCAGTGGATAGGTGACAGGTCGCACCCTCAGTTAAGGGTTGCCAAAGAAGGTTATATATTTATGGTTGACTCATAGATAGGTCTCACCAGTACCTTAGAGATTGCAGCTTGTCTTCTATATTTTTTGCTAAAAACAATAAGGTTGATTACTTTTGATGTTATTGATAATTACCTTGGTAAATGAATAGTGTTGTCTCTAACAACACATCTTTGGCCTCCCTTTTTCATTCCTCTCATACTTAGTCTTGCATTTGGACCACTCAGAGCATCAGGGTTCACACAATTTACAGAAACTTCCACTGGTTCAACACTTTTCCTATGTATTGTGTTTTTCTTTCTCATGGATTAAAGTGACATGAAACAGAACAATGCCGTCAGTATCAGTCTTGCTTGTTTTTTAGTTTACTCCAGTTTACTTTTGAATTACCTACATATATAAGCAGCATAGATTATATACATTGTATATATGCATAAAAAGGAAAAGAAAGGATAGGTACAATATCTACATCGTATTCCAAGTGTGCATAAAAATTTTGTACTTGAGTTTGACATCAGATATAAGATGTTTGCATTTTTATGGCCAGAGAATCTGAGCGGGCCTCTTGCAGGTCCTACTTCTTTTCTTTCCTTCTACTGTTGTTTCTGTCTGATCTGTCAGCTTTTTTCTTGCAGACTAAATGACAATTATTTGGTCAATGTGCTTCTCTTTACCAAAGCCAACTATTACATATTCTCAGAGGACATGGGAGGCTTTTGTTATCATGGATTGTTATTAGTGCTCTGATCAGTTGTATTTTTCACTCTTAGGTTCAATACATTCACGGAAGGACAAGTTGGTGGCTTCAGTTTAACCTCTTCAACGTTCAGGGATGCAAATGTTCCTGTCTTCTTAATAATGGCTAGCGTGGAGACTGATGCTGTCACCAAGGAGCATGCATTACTCCCTGAATCCAGCGCTACTTCCACTGAAAAAGAAAAAATGAAAAAGGACATGATCAGTAGACTGTCTGGCACAGATGCTCACTTCCGACACCAGCAGCGGGGCGAACCAGATCTTGGCCATGAAGAAAAAGCAAACATTGCTCTGGATATTCTTCACAAAAGTCCTGCCAAATTTCTGGAACGCTTTTCACAATATCTAACTCAAGAGGATACAGCTTATTTTGAGGATATGAAAGGAGATTATATGATTGATTTTTATTTGAAAGAGATTTCTAAACGTTGTGCTGACACAAATCATAATATGGTGAAAAATCGCAGATATCAGGCTTTACAAAAACTGGTGGATGAAGGAGAGTATTTTTCACAGAATGAAATGAAATGGAGGGATCCTCTACTTTTTGAGCAAATGGTAAGGAGAATTGGTTTATGAAAGTATAATTTTTAATGCCTACCTCAAGTTTCTGTTAGATTTTGTAATTAACTTGATCTCCTCTAGAATTTAAAAAATCTTTATAATCATTCTAGAATGAAGATAATCTATACATTAATTGATTTAATGACGGACACTGAGAAATTTATGGAACATAAAATCACTATTTTTATGGATATACACCATTTCATCATCATCAGTGCCTTTCACCCCTGGCAGGGTATAGGCCACATACAAGCTCCTTCCTTTTATCTCTGTCCTGGGCCATCCTTCCTAGCTCGTTCCAAATGAGCTTCATCTCTCTCATGTCCCTTTCCACACATCTCCTCCATGTTTCCTGTGGCCTACCCCTGCCTTGTGTTCCCTGTGGGTTCCATTGCCATGACTGTCTTGTGATGTTTCCGCTGGGCTTTCTGAAGGTGTGTCCCATCCAACGCCACTTTCTTAGTCCTATTTCTAATTCTATATCCTTTTGTCCTGTCCTTTCCCACAGCTCTTCATTTCTTATTCAATCCTGCCACTTAATTCTTAGGATACTCCTCTTACATCCGTTGATGAAAGTCTGGACTTTCTTCAGCGCTGTATTCACAATTTAAACCTCAGGTATTTAAGCTTGGTAATTTTTTTTCACCTTGGATTATGTCATAGCCTTTGTCTGTTTGCACACTGATTTTAACCTGTGACTTTGCAAAAAAACTTTCCTCTACATGGAGATGGAATGGGTTCAAAGGTTTCTTGAAGTTGGTAGCAGATTTATTTTGAGGCAATGTTTATAAGCCCCTTTACTGAAACACTTTTTGGTCTGACAATTTTAATGACATCTGTCAAATTGTTTAGGATTCTTAGTTCTCTACTTTAACTTTCATGCATAATTGTTTGACATGTCCTTGGTCATTTAACTATAACTTCATCGATCTGACTTATTTTGTCTTCTTTTAATTTGTTCTAGGTTGGACAATATGAGACAGAAGCAGAACAAGATGCAAGAGAGATTGACAGAAGTGATCTGAAATTTTCCAGTATCCTGTTAAAGCATATGGATGCCAACACTAATAAGCAGTTATATGACAAGATGAAAGAGATGGAAGTAAGCACAGGTTTTGTTCATTTCACTCTTGTAAGAATTTAGAGTGAACTGAAAGTACAAACACCAGGGGATGTCAGGCATGTGAAGGTCCCTCTACTGAAATTATGTACATCGTAAAGCTTTCTCACAGCATGAAAAAGGAACAAGAAAAAAATGCCCCTAACCTTTTTTCTACATGATAGGAAGAGAATTCCATGGCTTTGAAGTCTGTTGGTTTTCATATCTATGCTAGGCTAACTCTTTGTTTTATATTTTCTAGTCTGGCGCTCAGATGACCTTATGCAGTTGCAAGTGCCGTGAAAACTTTACTAGAACAAAAAACATTTTCTATTCAAAACTCAAGGACTAAATCATTCAAAGGCTATGAGATGTATGATGAAGTTTTTGGTTATTTTCATGAAAAGAAGTACACGGACATTAACCATCATGTAGAAGTCTTTTTAATCTATGCAGCCACAGCTTTCAAAATGATTGATTCATACCCGAGCAATTCAATCCATATTTACACTGATGGGTCAGCCTTTAAGGGAATTATTAATACAGGCTTTGGGGTAAGAATAGAACATAATGACAAGATGTGTGAAGAACTATTTGATGTGGTACTTCGTGTACAAATTATGAGGCTGAGGCCATCACTATTGAAGCAGCCATCCTCCACCTGACCAACATATTCATGGTATATCCAGGCAGAATCAAGGACACTTTAATCTTCACAGACACAAAGTCAGTACTCCAAGCTATGGAAAACATGAATTTCAAAAGCCCAGACTGCAAATCTGATTATTATCTGTGGCACTAACAATCAACACCTTTATGCAGACCTATGCCATCAACTTGACTTTACAGTGGATACCTGGCCACAGCGATATCCCAGGAAATGTTAAAGCAGACACTCTTGCCAAGAAGGGAGCGTCACAAAGACAACCCCAAAACCCAGTATTTCAACAGACAGTCAAGAGGATCATCATGACTGCTATAATGAGTTTCCCAGATTGGAATCAAACTCTCATCTTCTGCCTACAACTATGGCGAGCCTTACCTGTGTGCAGGTCTTTAAACTCTTATATATGTCACTTGTTTCATTAAATATGTAACCGGTGTAAAATCTTGCCTGCTTGTCAAGTTCTTTTGAAAATATGTTAGATAAGAGGACTTTCGTCCTAAATATTTGTACTATTTATGTTCTTAAAAGCGCTAGATCTCTAGTGTTCTCGTATCAAAGGTATGGTACAAGGACAATTTTCTGTTACTTTCTTTTTAAAGAAAAGAAAAAGAAAAAATACTACTTTTATTCATGTCATGTAGATCTAGAGAACTTTGGGTTACAATGGTTTGTGCAATGCATTTTAAAAAATGATTCTGAGGTTACTTCAATGTCGCATAATGCAGAATGAAATGTCACACTACAGGGACATCTGTGTGGAGTGTTTCGAAGTCCAGGTTTCCTCTTCTTTTCATGTTGACATTTTCTTTCATTTTTGTTGTCATATTTCAGGATGGCCAAGATGAGGAAGAAGAGGAAAGCTCAGATGAAGATGATATGGAAAAGAATGATACAGAAGGAGAAATGGATGAAGAAGAAGTGGAAGACTTGGGTAGGTTGAAGGCCCAAAGTTTTGAAATGATTTCAAAAGTCTGTTTGTCTGCCTGTTAGCACTTTTTCTAGGGTTCTGCATGAGTCATCATCTATTTTCAGTCAGATCTAAGTTGAGACCAATGTCTGGGCTGTGATGGTAAGGCTCTTTGCCATCACATATCTAAGAAGTGAGTTCTGTTCTTGGGTGGGGAGATTTCATGTTATCGAGTATATCCAATTGTCTGCTTGGGTGCTATGTTTCACTCTGCCCAGTTTGGTCCCAATAGGGTTAAAGTATCACATGGCCTCTTAAATGATCTGAATTGTGTCCACAGGAGTGTAAAACGTTTGCATTTATTTTCAAACCCTGTTAAGTTTCTCTTTACTCTTATGTTGTACTGGACAGTTTTGTTCTTACGTGAGTGTAATTATTGTTGTTTGTTTACTGTACGTTGAGCATCATTTTTTTTCTGTTTGCTGGTGGTTCTGTCTTTAGTTTTCATCTTGGCTTTTTTCCTCATTTTTTCACTGCTGTTTTTCTTTTCTGGAAGTTCGTAATGTCAAATTTTCCAGGTTTTGTATTTTGTCTTCCGTGTCAAGTAGATTCTTTGGGATTTTTTCAATTGTCATCGATTTTTTATCTGTTCGTCATCCTTTTTCTTGATGCAGTTGTGCTTCTGTAAAATAAGTAGGTGTGCTTCCAGCTTTAAATGACTTTTTCACTTGGCTTTCTCCTCATAAGATCACCTGCGACTGTGAAATGTGGCAGTGATTGACGGAGGTTTGTTGAAAAAAAAAACTAGACCCAGGGTGTCTAACAACCCAACTTGAGAAAAAAGAGTTAGGTCATTCAACTCTAGCTCTTATTTGACTAATCCTTAAGCAAGCTATTTTTGTACAATATTGGTGTCATTAAAAGCACTTGTTGTATTTTAATAGTCATGGACTGCAGTAATTTTTCTCAGAAAAAGACAGAGAATTGGAGGACGATGAGTCTGAAATATCTGAGGCAGACAGAAGCCATCTGAAGACAGAATTTCTCAGGATCATGCAAGAACGCTTCTTGTCAGGGCAAGATGCAAACTTTGATTATGGGTAAGAAACTGTTGTTTTAGTGTTCACTTTGCTTGCAGCGTGTGTACGTCTTTTGTGGGTTTTTTAAAATTGCTGTTTGTTTTTGTGCTTGTGATTTTATGTGTAATTTTGGTTTATGCTTATGTTCATTCATGTTTGTGAGATACATATTTTTTTAATTTGCATCTTTTCAAAAGGTATTTTGAGCCCTCTTTTGTTCATTTAAAATAAAAGTGGTCAACTTTGTTTGCAATGTTCTGCTCGAAAGAAACTTAAATCCTTTATTCACTTTGAATAGGCATAAAAAGTCGATTCCCACAAAAAGAAGATGTTATAACAATTATCTCCTTTTTCTGTCAGAATCCGTTTTAGACTGGTCCTGACAGGTGGTTAGCCGTTGTTCTGGTGTGGTTTACTCCTTATTTCCTAACAAATGTCTATCGCCCTGATCTCTCCTCCTTCTTTTTTGAGTTTATTGTACTCTCTTGTAACACTTCTGATCTTCAACTCTTATGGGACCTTATGGTGTTCCAAGTGCCGTAAAACTCTTACTAAAACTAAACTGACAGGCAGAGTTAAAGCAGCCCACCTTCTATATTTTATCAAAGTTTTAAATGAAACAGGCCATATAACATATGGTGTTTTTACACTCCCATCGACTCAAGTTTAAGTCATTTAGGAGGCAGGCATCTGACCCTACTTGTCAGGGCCAACCCAGGCTGAGAGGGTTGCAACATTCCAATAAAAAGACAAGACACTCAACAAAAATTTACTCTCCTTTTGAGAATCAAACTTGGATCTCCTGTGTGCGACAGTGATGCCTGTGTATGTGTGTGTGTGTGTGTGTGTTTCTGTGTGTGTGTGTGTGTGTGTGTGTTTCTCTGTGTGTGTGTGTGTGTGCGTGTGTGTTTGTGTGTGCGTGCAAGCACACGTGCTTGGGCATAAGGGAAAATAAAAGATAAAGAGGGACAGTTCCAACAAAAACATTTTTATTTGGTTATGTCCCTTTGCTCGCTCCGTGACGTGCTGTGGTGTGTGTGTGTGTGTGTGTGCGTGCGTGCGCTCTCTCTCTCTCTCTCTCTCTCTCTCTCTCTCTCTCTCTCTCTCTCTCTCTCTTGCTTCTTCTTTCCTATCAAACATATATCGTTCCTATCTCCCCATCGCTTAGTGTTTGTTACTGTCTTGTAACACCTCTAATCTTCTGCACGTTTTTTATTTCCCTAATGTGTTGCAAATGCTGTAAAACTTTTTCTAAGACAATGGACAACAGCTTGCGATTAGCGCCATTTATATTCCCTTTCACCTGCACACAGTCTGTCCTTTTTTTTTCTTTCTAGGAGGTGGTTGGCGGGTGCCCTAGTATGGTTTGCTCTTTCATTCCTATCAAATATTTAATCATCCTTATCTCTCCTCCTTCGTATTTGTGTTTGTTACTCTCCGGTAACATGTGGGTGGCTGGTGAGTGCTCTAGTGTGGTTTGCTCCTTCTTTCCTGTCAAACATCTATCGCCTCCATATCTCTCCTTCTTCCTGTTGGTGTTTGTTATTCTGTTGTAACATCTCTAAGGCTCTTATTTGATCATATTCATTATTGTGTTGCAAGTAGGCTACCGTGGAACAAAACACATACTAAAACAATAAATAAAATTTAGCAGTTAACACCATTTATTCCGTTACTAAGACAATAAATAACATTTTGCAATTAATACCATTTATTCCGTTTCACCTGCACACACTAACTCACTGTACTATTGTTGTTGTTTTGGGGTTTTTTTTGTTCAAGCGGGTTGTTTTTCGTATCAAACACCTATCGTTCTTATCTTTTCGTCGTTTTTGTGTTTGTTACTTTCTTGTAAAGTTGTTCCCGCGTCCGATCCGGACATTGGGGATTGCCTTGTTACTTGTTAGTGAGACAACTTCCTGGGCCCTCGGCATATTGTGGTAGGGTGGCCAGTTCCTTTCCACACCGCCTTTACTTCCCCAACTCGAAGTCTGGTACACATCTGATCTGTGCCATATATATTATAAGACTTTTGTGTGTTGCAAATTGCAAGTGCCTGTGTATAAGAACTATTTTTGTTGCAAGTGCCGTAAAACTCACACAAACGATCAGCTGGGTTTGTGTGAAAGTTTTGTGACATGGCTGTCTGCCTATACAGCGGCATGACTCATGATATGGTACCAAAGTGCTATGTTTATATGACAGTATGACCCGGAATGTCTGTGTTAGTGGGTAGTTAGCAGGTGCTCTGGTGTGGTTTGCTTCTACTTTCCTATCACACATCTATCTTCTTTATCTCCTCTCCTTTTTAGTGTTGTTATTCTCTTGTAATTCCTCTAAACTTTTGCATTTCTATGACCTTATTGTGTTGCAAGGGTCGTAAAACTCTTACTAAAACTAAACACTCTTTGTTCGCTGCTCTGTAACCTTTGTCGTTATGACCTTCTCTCCAAATGCACAGCTGCTGCTGTGCTGTGCTATGTGTGTAAAATATTTACATAATTCTTTGTGTTAATCATCGTCTAGTCATTCGTTTCAGGCATTCAAATGTAACTAATTGAGAAGCACATACATTCACATGAACAGATGCACACACTCGCTCCCGTACTTACACATTGTCTCGGTTTGTGTGGCTGGTTGGCGTTTTTTCCCCCCCTTTTTGATGCGATTTGCTTCATCTTTCTTATCAACAATTTATCTCCCCCCCCCCCCCCCCCTCCCCTTTTCAGGCTGGTGTTTGGTTTGTTCATTTTTCCTATCAAACATCTATCGTCCTTGATCTCCCCTCCTTTTTTTGTGTTTGTTACTCTCTAATATTCGGCACTTTTATGACCTTATTGTGTTACAAGTGCCGTGAAACACTTACTTTAAAACGATGGAACAAAATTGGAGATGATGATCAGACACACGAGTTGCATCACGTTTCAGTAAGTTCTGTAGTGCTTGACACTTCTTGGATTAAAAAAAAAAAATAATATAGAAAAATCCCAGGAACTTTTAATTAATGGACTTGCGTAATATCAAGGCGGTTATTGCAGTACGTGTAGTTGCATCAGCATCTCCTGTAAGGGAACGTGGTTGGTTTGAGGACACTGTAGGTCCTACTTTTGTTCTGCCCC